ACTTCGAGAGGAGTTGGTGGTTGCCTGGAATGAGATACCACAGGAGGACATTGACCACCTGATCAGAAGCATGCCTAGGCGCATTGGAGAATGCGTAGCACATCAGGGTGCATCCGCACATTATTAAAGGTCAAAGGGCTTTAAAGCAGTGCAATCATTTTGAAATTTTTATCATTTACTTATTATGCTTCATTAAGTACTTATACAGGGTGGGGCAAAAGTCACGAAGGGATTTGAAAAATTAATAACTTTTTTAAATTTATTTTGTTTTCATTTTTTTTTTTCAGGACCGTGTAAAATAAATCCTGGAGATTAATTATGGAGCGTTACAACCTCAATCAACGAACCAAACTTATAGAATTTTATTTTGAATATCACCATTCAATAATTCAAACTCAACGAGCATATCGTCGTCATTTCAATTTGCGGAATTCGCCCTCTGAATCAATGATTCGACGCTTAGTGGCACGATTTCAGCAACAAGGCACAGTTATGGATCTCCCACGAAGCGGAAGGCCACGTTCCGCAAGAAATGAAGGGAACATTCAACGCGTTCAGGAGAGTGTTCAGGAGAATCCGGAAACCTCAACCCGAAGACGTTCTGCTGAGCTGCAGATGTCTCAAAGGTCTTTACGCAGAATATTAAGAGGAAATTTACATCTGTTTCCATATAAAGTGCAGCTAGTGCAAGAACTAAAACCAGCAGATTTTCAAGGACGACTAACTTATGCAGTTCGCTTGCAAAGAATGGCTCGAGAAGATAATGAATTTATTCATTCTCTGATCATGAGCGATGAAGCCCATTTTCATTTGAATGGCTTCGTAAATAAGCAGAACTGCAGAATATGGGGTACCGAGAACCCAAGGGTGGTTCATCAAAGGCAATTACATCCGCTTAAATGTACAGTATGGTGCGCAGTTACGTCTCAACGAATTATTGGACCATTCTTCTTCGAAGACCACGATGGGAATGCTGTATCTGTAGATGGCGACCGATATCGTGATATGATTCAAAATTTCTTAAGACCAGCTCTTGCTGACAATCAAACGATGACTTTCCAACAAGATGGAGCCACTGCGCATACTACTCGAGCCACTATGCACCTTCTAAGGCAGATTTTTGGCGAACGTTTAATTTCGAGAAATTCAGGATTCAATTGGCCCGCCCGCTCGCCGGACTTAACAGCCCCTGATTATTTCCTTTGGGGATATCTGAAAGGAAAAGTGTATATTAATAAACCCACAACCCTGCAGCAACTAAAAGATAATATTCGAGCAGAAGTAAGTGCTTTGGGGCCAGATATTCTGACTCGGGTAATGGAAAATGCTCTTGCAAGAGCTGCACTTTGCGAGGCTGAAAATGGCGGTCATTTGCGTGATGTAATCTTTCACACTTAAATTGTAAACAAACTCCAAACATTGCATTTTAGTTTTGTGTTAGGGAAAAAAATTAAAATTAAAATTTAAAAAAGTTATTAATTTTTCAAATCCCTTCGCGACTTTTGCCCCACCCTGTACAAAATTTTATTAAAATAAAACCATTTAAACTGGGTGTTCGGATTTATATGTCACTTAGTATATATATCCTCCATCACAATCATATTGTCCGGCTATACACTGAACACCAAAGTTGTCTGACGGCTTGAGTTGAATATGTACGAGAGAGAAGTGTGTATAGATACATATGTTAGAAAGAGATAGAAGCCGGCTGGATAGCGAAGCTCATCTGCTGCGTTGCCGATATGGTACGCCAGTTCCTTGAATTAAGATGCATGTTGAAAATACGCGTTAGTTTATTCTCTACTCCCAAATAATGGTTTTATTTTGAGTGTACACATTTTTGAATTCTGAATTGTGTCAAATCTGTTTAGAATTATTTCCCGATCGGTCCTAACGGCGCTCCATTTTAGGTCGAAATGAAAAGTCAGGATCACCACAAATTCTGCAAGATTGCATCATTGGTTGACAACATCTTGTTCATTCCCAGGCAATGTGTCCACCTCCATGATCATAGTTGAGCGATTTTTGTGTGGTCAGTACCCAGCTAGGGCTCCTAGGGGTGTGTCGTCCTGCTTCGAAATGGTTTTCACCCGCGTACCCACAGGCAGTGATAATTTGTATTTCGTAATGGTATTTGTTACATTTTCAGACCGCTCGCTGTCGCAAAATGTAACTATAATTCAGGATGTGTTGATTTTATCAAAGATAATTCTTAAATAAATTAAAACACCAAGTCGCATCAAAATTGAAATAATTAATTCCAGTCGAAATGAAACCAAAATATTAATTACTATCTATTAATTACTGGGTAAGTACCCTAACCCATTGTGGAAACGTGTGCGAACATTTTCTGGTGTAACATAATTACAACGCGGCAGATTGCACGAGCTTCTCCGTCACCGTTGCTAAACAATGTGGTGGTGACCTTCTCCCTTCAGCCGGCTTAATTGTATCTCTTTCTAACATATGTTGATACACACTTCTCGCGCTTCTCTCTCATACACATTGAACTGAAGCCGCCAGACAATTTTTTTCCTTTATATCTCCGCTAAGTCAATTATATCTCGATTATATCTCGGTAATATTGTTTGCCATCATATTACTTTTCAGAATTTCTCATCGGAAACAAAACATCAATTACTTCACAAAGAGGCCGTTTCTAAGGCCAAAGGAATTTGGAATAAAATCACATAAGTTATCAGTGAACGAGACGTATTTAGCGCTGGATAAACGATGGGTTTCATATAGAAATACAGGAACGGTGCGTGCCAATTTTCTAATAGATGGAACCTAAATTTATCATCATAGACCGTAAATCAAAATTGGACGGATTTTGGGTTATTATACTCACTCGCCCACTGTAAAGCGTATCAAAGAAAGCATTGAACGCTATGTTTGGTCATTAATCCATGAAATATTGAAAATTTTGATCACTATTCACACAAGGAACAGAGAAACTGTTAGAGATTCGAGAAATAAACACACGTTCTACAGATATTGAGATATTTGGTGTATTATTTTATTTTATATTATTATTAATTTTTGTTTCGAGAAGTACTAGTATAAGATCAATGTATATCGGGTGTCCTAACCCTGCGAGGACGGAGTATTGCTACTGCGCAAAAACTTTTCAAATCAATCTATGAGTTATTATATATATACACAAGATGTTTGGCATAAGAACTGACACAGAGCACAGGCATGTAGGGAAACCCAAAATATAGCTACTTAACGCAACGTACCTATACATATACTAAATTGCACCCCTAAGAGTTATAGGCCGTCTAAGTAGGGGCACAATTTTTTGAAGTCATTCACATCTCAGTTATCCTTGAACTTAATAAAAGTGTAATTGGTACATGTTTTGAGTGTAATAAAGAACATTAATCGACAGTGGTTAAAGTTTAAATACTTCAAATGGTTGACACGAGATTATGCACCCTGAAAATGTGAATCAACAAAAGTAAATCATGTATAGCAGCCGCGTTATTTAAACTTACCGACAATTCAAACGTTGGCTGTGGAACTAAATGTCAGACTTGACAATCAGGGGAAACCTTAGACCAACAATAAATTAATAGAAAAACAAGCAACTTAACCAATAGATATAACACACAATTTGCATTGATAAGTTACAGAATTTGTTCAAAATGATAACCGTTTTCTCTCAGGCATACATTTATTCTAAGTGGAAAATCGTCTCCTCTATTCAATGATTGCTGGTCATTTCTAATGGGTGCGTACGTATCTGTTATGCGATTACAGTTCAGCTCTATATGCAACTGGCGAGGAATACACAGATTCTTTTAACGTTCCCCAACGTTTGTTGAGTTGTGGCGATTGGGGAGTCCAACCTTGTGTGCAATTATACTAAACTAATGCAGTGCTCCATGGTACAAAAACCAATGTTCCAGTCTAAATTATAGTTGCACCTTGTCAAGTAAATCCTGAATAGAGTTTTGAAGAAATTCTAAATAAGTTTCGCCATTTATTCGGATTGGCAAAATAAACGGACCAATTAAATAATTCCCATCACAGAAACACTAAAAGCGTATCAATAGCTAAAATTAAATAAATTACTTTCCTGATTCCAAGTCCGACGTTTAATTTCATAGTCATTAGTCAATTTTTGGAAAAATCAAAAGACTAAAAAAAGTTTTACAACAGAAGACGCTTAAAGGAACCATTTTTAAGTCCTCCAAGGTCATAAAAAATGCATACATCTTCAATTGAACTTTAATTACTGTCGATTAATGCTCTTTGATGAATTTATTTTTTATAAGTTCAATAATAACTAAGTTGTTAATTTTTTTCAAATTTGAAACCCCACTTTCACAGCCTGTAACTTCTAAACCTTGTAAGAAGTGGAATACAACATTGTTGAAATATTCAGGATGCTCAATTTAATCTTTTTCAGCAAAAGTACCTTTTGCATTTAAGTCCACCCTGTACTGATCATTGAAAAAATCAAAACATAGATGAGTTAGGTTAAAATTGAGTATAATAAATAAATGTTGACACAAAATTCACTAATCCGCCAGTCAAGATTGCAAATATGCAGGGCTTCAAACTTCGGTGTCTTATTTATAAAATATCCAATTGCTCAACAACTACTAATCATAGTAGCTCATATTTATGTCTATGATATCAATCCTCTTCTTTTCAATTGGCCTATCCGAGTACGTAATAGAAAGTAGTAAAAATCAACTTTCATATGTTGGTCAAAATTGCGGCATCCTGTATAATTGCGAATATTTTAGAAACGTACCTCCAGATACCACATATATTAACCTATAAATAGTTCGAATATATCGAAATAATATAGCGTAAAGCGCCGTCTATTACCAGAATTGATCGCTGCGAGGGTTGGAACTGTAAAGATTTCAGTTCGCGTTTGATTACCCAATCACAACTGTGACCGCTAGATGCTGACATTCTGGTGGTATAGTAGGTGGTCACTCGCTACTGGACCACTAAGCGTCCTACTTTCGTCCGTCTGACCTATGGCAAGTATAGCACATCTACTATACCGCCAGAATCGTCTGCCACAGTGGTGACTGGGCTATCAATCGCGAACTGAGGTCTTTTCAGTTCAACCGATAACTGCTATAAATACTTGTAACGGTCGATTCTGGTAGTAGATAGCGCTTTATGTGACCAGAAACAACCAAGCCTAGACAATGCTGATGTGTTGCCAAAAAGCACGACGCAGCTGTCCATGGACGAACAAAAGCAGCATGTTTAGCCATAATAGTTTTCATTGAAAAGTTGTTTGTTTATGAGCAATACTTCGTCCTATGTATGTATTTAGGTATGAAGGATTTACGTATAGATAGCACTAAGCTCTAGTTTTCAATAGAATTTATTTTATTTTCAGATGTTGACAATAATGGTTACTTAGATGAAAGAGACTTTGCTTGCTTAGCTCTCAGGGCAACTATCATAGAAGGTAAAGGTGAATTTGTATACGGTAAACTACAGGAGAATCAACATATCATGCTGAGTTTATGGGAAGAAATTGCCGAGTTAGCAGATTTTAATAAGGTATGTCATTGTTAACTATAATTTATAATTATACAGGGTGGCGCAGAGGAAATGCATGATTTTCACGTAAGCATAACATTTTTTATGTTTAAGATAATTTTATTTTAACTACAGCTACTTTTAAATTAATTATAGTAAATTATGTCAGTCAAGTGTCGCCCTTCTTCGCGCTCGCACATCTCCAACCGCTTTTGAAAGTTGTGCACTACACGTAGGATCATTTCTTGTGGTATAATAAGTCACATGCAGACAAATTTAAGGAGCGTGAAGGCCAAGGAACATCGCCGAAACGGCAAATCACATGTTCAAGAAACATTTGTCGAACACATTCCATTGATGCTCTCGCTGTGTGAGCTGTGGCACCGTGTTGTTGGAAGTACAGTTCTCCCATGTTTACTTGTTACCGTTAAAGTTCCTGTAACAGAAAATTTTGTAACATGTGAACATAACGTGCTGAAGTAACTATTACTGCTCTTTCTTCCTCTAAAAAGGAAGGACCAATGATACCTAATTTACTAATTCCGCACCACGCAGTCAATTTTTCACTATGCAAGGATCGTTGGTGTAGCTCTCGAGGATTTTCGGCCGCCCAATACCTACAGTTCTGCTTGTTTACATATCTCGTTAAATGGAAGTGTGCTTCGTCACTCAGCATTATGACGACGTTAGGATCGTCAGCAAAAATGGTCAGCATTCTCGCACAAAACGCTGTGCAAAATCACTTTCCGATAGCTCTTGCACAATCATTATCTTATAGGGATAAAATTGTAAATCGTGCAGAATGCGTTGTAACGATCGACCGGACATACACAGAGCTCAAGGACCGCTCCTCTCACTATTTCGATATTGCCTGGTGTTCGAACGGTACGAGGAAGGCCAGATCCGGTAGTTCGACATGCCTCAACCCATCGAAGTATCGTATTTCGATCTGGAATTGACCCTTGGCGTTCAACAATGAATTAGCGACGGAATAAACGTTGCACGGCAACTACAGAATCATTGTTTCGGAAAAATTGCTCGACGGCAAACACACGAGGCTCACGGCTAAAACTGCATATTGCCTGTGTTCTCTGCTGGCGGTGAGGCAAGGTCAACCCACTTCTCTTTGCGAAATACTATTCACTCAGAAAACATGCGTTTCCTCTGCGCCACCCTGTATTTGTAAGCAGGACGTATAGAGCATTACGCAGTCTAGTCTGACTTTGCTCTGACCATGTAATCAGGTATCACATTTATTGGACATTTTTTGTCATCAATCTTTTGTACTAAATTGTTATCTCACTCAAGAGGCTTTACCTTGTGTTGTTCATAGATTGATCTTAGCTAGCTGCAGCATTATTTTGCCAATAATAATTCGATTCTAGTAGTTAGATGGATGACAACAGTTTTGTAGTTCATTTTAAATAGTTGAACGCTCTCTGTAGACGCATCAAAGAAAAAGACCCAAAACTATCTTAACTATAACTATCTAAAACTGTAATGACTCATCGGTGTTCACGTGAACATCACTTAACTATCAGTAGTCGGCTGTTCATAGGCGGGGTATGAATGCTTAACATGGGTGAACTAGATTTGTCACATGCTTAATAAAGAGTGGTTTGAAACATATTGTAAGTCAAAAATTTGGGGATTACCTTTATTCATCGTCGCTTCCACTTACATCTGACAGTAATAAACTGTCGCTATCGCTTTCCTCGATGAAATTGACTATAACTGGCTCTATGATGGTGTCGATATGGTGGTCAAGCTGCCACATTTTTGTTTCTTCCTTCACAACATGACGGATAGCATTCTGCCAAACTTCGGGCGTTACTAGCTGTATGGAAGTCTCAAGTAAAACCTTAACGTCTGGTAATTTGAAGGTTGTGTTATGGCGCGCAATATAACCCTTCACTTGAGCCCAGACGAGCTCTATTGGGTTCAGTTCACAGTGGTAGGGCGGTAACCGCAGCACAGTGACACCACATTGACGGGCCATCTCATCAGTCACGTAACTAATGTTCGCAGGTTTGTGCTGTTTAATTTTTTCATACAATTCCGCTTTCACACATGAATCGTCAAACGGGATTCCTTTTTCGCGCAACCATTGCTGCATGTCACTTTTTCGAGATCCCATAGTCGGTACACGTTCGGCTCGACGGCTATGGTAGGAAGCATTATCCATGACGATCACAGAGTTGGGCTCAACTCGCTGAAGCACCCTTTGAAACCAGCTCTCGAAGCAGCTGGCATTCATTTCGTCATGGTAATCACCTCCTTTCTTAGAGACGAAAATCAAGTCACACTTTTCTAAAAAGCCACTATCGCTACCAATATGAGTTACGATCAATCTTTGACCTTTCCCTGACGGTCCACGAAGACCTGTTGACAAACCTTCAATGCTTGCTTGTCGGTTACTCACTACGTTTTTGTCTATCCAGGTTTTTTAACTGTGTGACCTGCATTTACCCATGTCTCGTCCAAATAATAGATTTTTCTGCTTTGTCGCCTATATTCAATCATTTCGCGTAGGTATTTTCGACGCCAGGCGACTATTTCAGGTCTATCAATACTGACTTCCGATTACGTGTTTCATAACGAAAATTAATTTCGTGCAGGGATTTCCTCATTACCTCGACGCTCATTTGGGGTATAATTTCATTTTCCTTGATCGCTGCATGTACAGCCTTGAGGGTTGGTATCTCATTCCTAAAGAAGAATGAATGTACGGTTCGGCTTAACGCCATTTTGCTATCGTCATCCAATTTAACGGCCTTTCGTCCCTTCAAATTAAACTTTGGATCAGTAGTAGCTCCAGTTTTCTTCTTTTCATGTACCACCCTGGAACGCCTGTCATACTTTCACAACACGCGAGTGCATCTCCCTGCGACATAATTCTGTTCAGATAATTGAACACGTTGAGCACGATTTCTTTCGCGCCCCTCTTCAGTGCTTTACGAAGCCGTCTACTTGTTCCCTATCTTTCAGTACTTCCACTCGTGCCATTTGTACTCTCCATGGTTAAGTATAACCAAAACAGTAACCACAGAAACCACAACAATAACAATCACACAACAATTCTTATAAAAACACACAATAAGCGATCGCTCAACGAAACACGTTCCAATGCGTTGCCGACGCCTATGAGTCTGCCGGTCGAGGCGCGTCTTTGATTTCATTGGTTCTACCGGCGGAGAACAATCAGCCATTATTTCAATCTCTGTCTGTGCTGTTGACCACCGCAAAGCCACAGAAACGACATATGTCGTACGCTATACGGCTGTACTGGAAGGAAGCCGGGATCGAGCTCTGATCACGTGTTGATCACGCGTATGAGTCATTACAGTTTTAAATAGTTGTAGTATAGATACATATAGTCGAAAAATATAACTTAGATGATGAGTGACAAAAGAGATATTGAGTTATACGTTTTATGGTATCGGGTGAGTTTTCAGTATGTAATCGGCAGCTAGCTTCATTATGAAAATTATCTAAGCAGTTATTTACGAAAAATATAGGCAGAATAAATACAGGGTAATTAATAACTGCTTGGCAACACAAAAATACATTATTGAAAAATGGAATACCCTATATTTTAGTATATTCAAAAAAGCCTATTTTTGTTCGCTACTTCTGGAGCTACGGGATATTTTTACACTCAATTTTGACAGCTTATAAGCCAGTCACTTTTGCAGTTACGGTACTTTTGTGAAGAGGAACTTAATACAGTAAAAGCTCACCATGTATAGTTTATATGCCTAATTTTAGCATTTGTATCTTGTACTCCTTAATAATTTTTTTATTTAAGATGGTAGAAGGTAGACTGCACAAATATATTTTATATTGCCACGTAACGAATTTCTGCTGTAGAATATAGCAGCGCTAAATACTGTAGAACATTTCCATACTTACACACTCCCGCATATCTAACTTTCTTTTTACTGCTCACAAATAATGTGTATTTTTGCTTCATTGTGTTTGTCTTTTATCTTATCTGTGCTTATAAATAAGTACATTATTTTCATTTATTGCAACACTATCCCTTCTGTCTATGAATAAAAATGCATTGTTGACCACTTTGGTTCCGATACCAGGCATTATCTTATAATTTTGTTTGGAATCAATAAAATGAGCAAAGCCTTTTAATTTTCTGTCGCTGAAATAAGGTGGAGTTGAAGTTTATAAATCACCTCTGCTTAGCAGCCAATTAATTAGAGCACATATGCTCTTAATAATTTAAAGTAGGTATATGTCTGATGTTATTTATAAGTTCAACGGGAGACAATGCAAAGTTCATTTTAACATTATATATATATTTTGGCAAGATGAAATGCTCAAGCAACTTCTGTACGGATTATGCAACAAAGGCGGCAATTGTAGCGCTTTTACTGGGCCAATGTATCACATCAGTTCGTATGGTCTGTGTCCAACATAGGGCTACGGACTTTGGCTATACTGCGGACATACAGGGTGACTGAGAAAACAGTGATACAAACATAAAAAAATAACACAGAAAATGTCTATCTTGAAGGGTCCTAAAATGCCGTACTGAGATACAAAGTGTTGAAATTATAATTCCGAAATCAAATAAAAAAAAATATGTTTTATTAAAATTTTGTACATGTTGCACTAACAGCATCATTATACAGCAATTTTCGTGCCTGAGACACACCAGTGGCGTAGACATAGTGAAATTTTGACCACTACAGAAGAAAAAAGAAAACTATTTTGCACGCATCTGGTTTTCTTGGCACGTGTTAAAAATTGGTTTGAATATTTTAGGTAAAATCCGTATGAAAGACTTCAATCCGCTCTGCTTAGAAAATACGCTGAAGTTAGTGAAGTTTTACTAGGAAACTTGTAAGTAGTAATCCTCTCTCACTACAGCGTTATTTGAATACTATTCACGTTATGTCCTCAGCAGACCGCAGTCTGAATCATGGTGACGAGACATTTTAGGACACATATTTATAGGAACTTTTATTATTATTTTTAAATGCACTTTTTGCGTTAGAAATATTGTTATCACCCTGTATAAGTGTTCTGACACACCAATTCGCCGCTGTCCTGCCGGGATCCCGTGAAAACCTCTGCAACCAGAAGTTCAGTGGTTATATTGACATGCTATAAATTCTATTCTCAGTGATCTTGATTCCCTTTATATGTATTATACGCGTTTACAGGGGGTTTATCTTAACAAATGACAAGCGATATCATGCGAGCACCAAAAAATCAATAATTGCTTGACTTGGCTGATGCACGACGCCCGTTGGGTGATAAATTAGATCTAGATCTCTATGAATTCTTACTATAGTACGTGCAAAATACTCGTATATTAGAAGATTCTTCACCGTGTGCAGGTATGTTTCCCAGAAAAGCATATTAGAGGAATATTTCACAGAGAGTCAAATGTCAAGTTACTTATTTATATATTTTCGTATTTTTTTATGTACACTCAGGTTCAAAATAAACTCAACAAACAAAATTTTGGACCAATTCGTAACGCAATTACTTTATGAATTCTACTAGATTTTGTTGATTTTTTCCGCAAGCGGCAACTCATTGGTTCAAATTTTCAAATCTGATTTCTTGATTGTGGCCTCGGTTTGACTTGACTCGAAATGGTGGTTTGACTCCAGTTGCCAATCAGGCCAGAATGCTTCCCATTATTAAGAAACACATTTTCTCTATAATCTGTTTTTTATTCACGTCAATATGTGTACAGTGGTTGGAGTTTTAGACGCAACTTATCGTTTCACCACTAATTTTCCTTCGCCCTCTTATAATTTTTTTAAATCTCGTACAAATTCAAAAAGTCTTCCATCAATTTGCACAGGAATCTGTTGAATTTCTGTGTTAGGTTCAATTTTCTTTATATCATCATTGCTTTCGTTTATCTAGAGTCGTAAAAAAAAGAAGTTTTGACTTAAATTTTTTTGCTGTGTAATAATTTCACGCCCTACCCTTTTGAAATAGTGTCAGTGTCCCCGAATCGTCTAATGTTGCGTTCATGAAAATCTGAGCGAAGAGCAGAATGAATGTAGCACAACAATTCACAAATTTTAATCAGTATTATAATTTTCCGATTGACACCTTTTAGTCGTTCTCGGGTCGAATATTGCTCTAAGATAATGTTTCCTTCATTGCATGTCTGGGAGCGCGATTTAGCCATATTTTGCATTATACAGAGTTCATTTGCAAATTGCATACCGATGGTGATATATAACCAACTTCTAACGTGACGTTTAGGTAGACGCAACCAGAAGAGGTGCTTTGCACCCCATAGTGCTCGCCAAGGTTCGACTCCAATGCTGTTTCTGTTCGGTAAAGCTGCTGATCCACAGCCTTATGGACGATATCACTTTGCATGCGGACATTTAGAATGTCAAACTTAGCTGTGAAGCGTTGGAGAAAAGAAGACTGGTAGCGATACAATAGTATCTTCTTCTTTGACATTAGATGCGATGGTTATCACCACAAATTAGTAACCAGTTGGTTTATCCATCACCTTCAGTATGCAGTTTGAAAATGAGCCACTCTGTATAATGCAAACTGTGTCTAAATCATGCACCTACACATACAAAACATTATCTGGGAGAAATAATGCTGAAAAATGCTGATTAAAATTTGTAAATTGTTATGTTTCATTAATTTTGCTCCAAAAGAACAACCCTTGCTCGAATTTTCATGAACCCAAAAGAGGATACGGGAGATATGGTTATCATTCTGACACTGTATTTCAAAATGGTAGAGCGTGAATTTATATTACAGCATGTCGTTAAATTAAGTCAAAAGTTTCCATTTTCACTGTAGATAAACTGAATCAATGAAAATATAAGAAAATGTGTACCTAATGCAGATAGACAATGGATTTCTGTACAATTTGGTTGAAAACTTTTTGAATTCGTATGATAATTAAAAAGGTTATGAAAGGGAGAAGGAAAATCGGTGGCAAGATGTTCTTCTGACTCTAAAACTTCAACCACTATACATATTGACGTGCATAAAAAACAGATTATAGAAAAAATGCGGATTTTGATAATGGAAAGCATTGCGGTCTAATTGAAAACTGGAACCACACCACAGAGTAACTCAAAGTTGGGGTAATGAAAGTCAAGTCAAACCGTAGCTACAATCAGGAACTCATATCTAAATATTAAAGACAATGAGTGTACCTACAGTCTGCCGAAAAAATCAATAAAACCTAGTTAAACATTAAAAAGTTGTGATGATCCGAATTTGCCAAAATTTTGCTTGTTGCGTTTATTTTGAACCTGAGTGTATTTCAGTCCCGAAAAGTTTTGAATAGCAAAAACCTGCGATGACAGCGACCATACGAACGTGTATGCTCTGTAAATGATGTAGTTGCTTTTATTACACATAATTATTGTTTTCTATCACTGAAGTTCTAATTAACTTTCGGGTTATAGTGAGTGGGACATCCAAGTCATATCCTTTTTTTGTGCTATACTGCCACACGACGCGCACGCTTTCCTAGCAACACCAAATGTTACATGTGACGCTCCGCCATTTACCACATTCCAAATCGCTTCAAACCCAGAGACACACCTAGTAACCCCATGAACCACCGTCTCATCCGCAGGAGCTGTTGCAGGACGGCAAGATCACAGTTGACGAGTTCAAACAGGCTGTGCAACAGTGTTGCTTGGGAAAGCGCTATGAAGATTTTCCGCAAGCGATGAAGATGTTTATCGACTCCAATTTCAAGATGGTGGATCTCAACGACGATGGCGTCATTGCTGCTGAGGAGTACAGGTTTAATTGTATCACCAAGTTTCCAATTGATGATGTCGAGATCGTAGATGAAGCTTTCAATAACTTGCTCAATGTAAGTTATATTTTCAGTAACTTGGGTCTCAGAGAAATATAAAAAAATCATGTCGTGTACTTTTCAAGTTATAGGCAAAATCGGAAAAATCTACACTCTGTGATAATCTTTTAGTTACTATTACTACAAATTTCAAATGTTTGTTACGCGGAGTGATAGAGAGTGTCATTCTACGTAGTGACAGAAAGACAGATAGTAACGCCACTTTTATTAATTTGTGAGTGTATTTATTAAATCCACAATAAACGTTTAAATGATTTTGTAAAAAGTCTAAATAAATTTCACCATTCAGGAACTCTGGTATTTCAAAAGGTACAATGATTATCCCACTTAGAATCCCGGTCCACAAGTCGTGTAGATTCATGTAACCATCTTTTCTAAAGGTCGACTCATCACCATAGAATCTTCTCTGCAAATCGCGGATCTTCCCAGTGTCTCTGTTACACTGTTTGACAAAACTCAGCTCTTGGAAGACAATCCCGGAGTTGTAGATATTTTACTTCGCTGTACGGGTGGAGCTCGTTCTAATTGTCGTACTGAAATACTTGGGTCTTCTTCGACTGCTTGTAGTATGACGTCCTTGTAACGAAAGGAAATTCTTCCTTCACCATATGCTGGAGTTGAGAATTGTCCTTTTGAGAGTAAACAGTACACATTCACAAAAGCTCGGTGATCGGGATGACGAGCAGCATTTGGGTACCTCTCACGATAAAGCTTAGCTGCAGCACCAGCATTGCATCTACATTCCCCACAAATCATGAATAAAATAAAAGTGGCGTTACTATCTGTCTTGCTGTCACTACGTATAATGACACTTTCCGTCTAAAAAACAATAGAAATTTGTGGTAATGGGAGCTAAAAGATCATCACAGGGTTTAGATTTTTCCTATTTTGAAAGGTGCACGACTTTAGGCGAATCAGTGATAGCCAGATGATAAAGGATCTCAATACATATCTAATGAACTTTTGTCGAACATAGAAAAATCCGTATTACGTAACTTAAAAAGTGACATACCGATTTTTATGACATTATGTAATTTTTTGACCACATGCAGGTTTTCTCATAAAATATCACCTTTAAACTAGCTGACATTCACTCCATAGTCACTTGTAGTAGGCGCAGAATGAATTAACTACCTAGTGCACAACTTGACATTTTACCGATTGTTTTGACATTATATGTATATGTTTGTTACGTAATAACCCTACCGTTTGCCTCTGTGATTTTTATGGAAATGCAACAGTGTGACTTTTTCTCCACTATGCTATCATGAAGACCAGCTCCATCAAAGTTTAAATAAAAAATTACTTCAGCTTTTTCTGAATTGTGTTATCTCATCTACCTTCAAGCGTTGTCAACACAAAATTCACCGATCTGTTTCTTCTAGAATCTTTTGAAAAATCTTTTATATCATATGATAAATCGACCCTACAAATTTTATCTGCCTATGATAAAGGCGTCACATCAAAAATTGCACTCCAAGTTGTAAAACTACAAAAATAGTCTAAACGGTGAGAGACACAAATAATATGGATACATCTTGAGATGATTGAGATTTGTTAAAGCTAAAATTCCTCATAAGTACCATTGAAACCTTTCAGGAATACCCTTGGAAATCTATGCAGCCACAATTTTTCATGTCTATCATTTTTACTTCCCACGACAATTGGCATGATCGAAAAAAATTCTAAATCGATAAATTAGGTTTTTTGGATGTTATAAATCACCAGACACTATGTTGTACTCATTTCTGTGGGTTTGTATATTCTCTGACCAATAATCCTTGGTTCCTGTGGGGGAAAGTCAAGTATATTGTACTGATTTTTAAATTGTACCACCTCAATATTTTACTGAACAGTAGATTTCTAATGTCATCTAGTTAGCCGTTTTGATGCCTTTTCTAAGTTTTTGCTGTGCAGTTTGATAACAACATATAAAGTAATCTTGATTCAAATCATTGTTCAATTCAAATGTACCTACTTCTTTTATATGAGATTTTGACACAAGGCTACTACCATTAGTCTAAGCTCCAACGACACTTGGCCTACGTCATCGCGGATGTGGATAAAGATGGTATCGGAATGAGGCTGGTAATGGGGGAAATACAGAACACCAATGTCGGTCGGGCATATCCTGTTTCCAAAATCTTCAATTAATTAGTTAGAAATTGTAAAATTGACGTAATTTTTATATAATTTTGACCGGCATTTCAACTAATTTGTGTTTTAACCAAAAAGCGTCTGATAACAATGGTAATGTGGATTGTTGCCGCAGAGTTACCATATATTATATTCATCATTTTGCTTCTATTGTCATACTGTCAACAAACTACGAGAAATTAAATGGTAAAGGAATATGCAATGACATTTCTGCTTATAATGGCTGAACTAAGATTCTAATAATAAAAAACGCGGTATACTATTTTTTGTAGAGAATAAAATTTTCTACAGAAAATATCTGTTACGTTTTTCTCGACACCTTGATGGTTCTTGAAATATAAGGAGGGAAAGTTGAAAAGTTGTTTCAAAACAGTCGCGCGACATATGATACTTCCCACGCTATTTAGGTTATCCACGTAATCCGCATCAATCACTGTTGTTAATACCACGTGTTAGTATGGAAAATGTAATATTTTTTGGTAATTTGTGATATTTCCATTGTGAAGATCAAGTCACTCACGTCAGTCTGCTTGTTACCGATTTTGTCACTGAGTAGCTGAAGCGATTGGAGAGGAAGAGCAGATTCCATTAAAATCATTGCAACGGTAGCTGAGGCTGTGCAATTACGAAATGGCCAATAGACAGATTGATGGTAGTGAATGACATGTTGAAAACCGAAAATATTATATTTTCCATACTTACGCGCATCAGTAAAAAGATGGATTCACTCTAAAGTAGTATTTTTACTCATAGAAAATGACTTACGGCGTTCTCCTCACGCAAAAACAACGATTTTTTCCTTTCGCTCCTTATACCTGAAGCACCATCAAGGTGTCGTAAAATCGCAAAGAACCCTTTTTGTATGAAATTTTAATCTCTACAAAAAAGAATTGTAATCATTATACGCTTAACTTATTAGTTTAGCCATTATAAGCCAAATTATGATTGCATGTATCTCTACCCTTAAATTTCTGGTAATCTGTTGACTATACTATACGACAAAGAATTCAATTCCGTATAAAATTTTTTACACAGGACCGACGATATTCGAAAGTTTCGATAAAACGCGTTTTTCAAAATGGCAGCAAATGCTCCAACCCTCTCATGACGCCAATTTGAACTTATCATTATATAAATAGTAGAAAAAAATTAACTATTTCGTGGCGTAATGAAGCCATGTTCTATGACATGAGCAAGATATACTTTTCGAGTTATTTTCTGGTAGATCCAGATTTTTATTGTCTGCGGTTGTGGCGACTGGACGGTTTACGGCCATATTTCATCTGGTCTTACTGAATTATTATCAATAAAATATGTTTTATGAATATAATTTCAATTTTCTGTTTAATCACATTCTATCAAATCTTCCTTGTAATATTTCTCGAATAAATATAAAGAGCTTAAATGATATCATCATCAGATTTTTTAACAAAGCTTTTCAGCAGGGATTATACGCTGCTTAATGTTATAAACAAGACTGTGTCCTAATAAATCCCCTAAGCATCCTAGATATTCACCCTATGAATACATATGGCTTTTAGTTGAAATATGTAATTTGAAACAGCTCCCGTCTTCCTATGTACAATTGACTAGCCTAAGGTTTTTCAGCTGGATAAGTAATTACTCTCCTTCTTTTTCTTCCGCAATTAAAAGAAGCTCCGCCAAGCCTGATGCATCCTTTATGATATTCATGAAACACTTGAAGTTTAACAACAAAAAGTCACACTATAGGAACTTCACTGAGCGACTGAGATCACACAGCGGAGATCGTGCAGCTACAGTTGCCTCAGTTTCAGAAATCAGAGCTTTAGATGTTTACGAAGAATTCTTGACGAATTTAGCAATGCGCCAATTAAAAACATATTACTTAAACATACATTTATTTATAGTGCGTGTCTGGGTTTTATTACTGTTGCTACCATTCCGTGCTAAAAATTGGCATATTATATACACATACACTGGCTGCACCAGTTGCAGAATATACATCAAGTTTTTTCACATGAGCCATAAATTACTTGGTTCATTTCACAGGGTAATTGTTGGGTCATCATCCGTTGAATTCAAAATTAAGGCATTTAGATGAACTCGACTTTTTACGCCTATAAAACGGCATTCATTTTCAAATTATGAAAAAAACTCTTAAGGAATCAGCGTACATTAGACTTTTTACTGTTCGCCCACGCCAAATAACGTGGAAGCATTATAGTCGCGGACATTTTAACCACTCTATATTTTTAGAAAGTAGGTACCGCTCGGATTTTGTAAAATTTTGGCACAAAATTATCTCTACGTCTGTAAATCAATCCAGTAGCGGCGGAGCTGTGGGCAAAAAACAAAAAAAAATCGCTAATCGTTCGTTTGTTTTTTCTTTTGATGTTTCAGAGACTCCTGGCATTTTTTGGATATATCTTTTAGGGGTAAAAAAGGGGTGCGGAGGGTATGTCACAATTTTTTGCGTTAATATAATTATGCAGCTATAACCCCGGTAATTATGCGCTCCTATTATACATACTTCACATACATACACTGAGAACGCAATTAGTCCGACGGCTCGAGTTCAATGTGTACGACAGAGAAGTGTCTATAGACACATATTTCAGAAAAAGATAGAAGCCAGCTGAATAGGGATGCTCATCACCGCGTTGCCTAGCAACGCTGACGCGACAATCTGCCGCGTTAATTGCCAATATGTTCCACCAATTCCTTGAATTAAGATGCATGGTGATAATATGCGTTAGTTTAATCTCTACGCCCAAATAATGGTTTTATTTTGAGCGCATATATTTTTTGAATTGTGTTGAATCTGTTTAGGATCGATTCCGGATCGATCATAACGGCGCTCCATTTTAGGTCGAAAGGTCAGGATCGCTACAAATTCTGCAACATGCATCATTGGTTTGCTTGGCTACACCGCATCTCGCACATTCAAGGCAAGGTTTCCACTTCCATGAACATAGATGAGCGATTTTGGTCAGTACCCATCTGGCGCTCATTGGGGAGTGTCGTCCTGCCTCGAAATGGTTTTCACCTGCGTATCCGCAGGCAGTGATAATTTGTATTGCTTAATGGTTTATGTTACATTTCCGACTGCTCGCTGTCGCAAAATGTAACAATAACTCAGGAGTGTTGATTTTATCACCATCGGTGGAAATCAAAGATAATTCTAAATTAAATTAAATCAGTAAGTCGCATTAAAATTGAAATAAATAATTCTAATCAGAATGAAAACTAAATATTAACTTTAACACGTTCGCTGCCTACTCAGACTGGATTAACTGTTCCCAATAGCCAAATACTTTTTTCAGCAATCAGACTAATATTGGTATATATGTAATCATTTTTAGTTATTTATATTGGTATCGAATTTAAAAAAGGTGTATATTGGTAGGGGAAAATTGTCCCCGATCGGAGCAGGCGGCATTGAAAAAAAGATTATTCGTATCACCGCTCACGGAAATATTGCAACACTGGCTTTATGGTCTCCTTGATTTTCATAGTTTTCTAGTGCTCCGTGTATTATGTTACAAATATCTAGTATCAAATTGTTCATGCTTTCGATTCATATCATGTGACGCTGACACGGGGCAGTAGAAAAAATATAGGAATTCCCTACCCTTTCTGAAGGAGAGAAAAGACTATAAAAATCAAGGAGGCCATAAAGGCGTCCTACAATATTGTAGGAACGACTGACCATACGGCCCTTAAGCAGTATTGTCATGTACACTACTTGTGATGATTATGATGTGTAAGACTGTATACCCTGTTCCACGAGTATCCATCACGTTAGAATGACAACTGATTATCTAGTAATATGTGGTAATATCTCAAAATTACCCATATCGGCTCAGTACACATAATTCTGACGGATCCGTCAACGCCAGGTAGATAGAGCCGAATTTTGTTTTGTTTTTTGTACGCTACAGATTCATTTTGTACTTGCTAACAGCTCTTTTATTTAGAAAAGTTCATTTGCACACAAAAAACAAAACGCCACAAATAAGCTTTACAAGATTTATACCCGATCCATAATTGCTAACGTTGTACATTAACACAACAAGTCCCTTTGCTGATCAGCTGTTTACCTCAGTAGACGTCAAAGCTTGATGGATACTCGTGAAATAGGGTGTAGGTATATCGTTTTTTTTTATAGGATGATGACAGGAGACGAGGTGGGTTAACTCTGTCAAGATACCAAGAGTTATACGCAGAATTCCTTGGAAACCCTGAGGAAACTCCAGCCGTTTATCTCTTCGGTCCACTATCCGAGTTTTACTTTTATGATGGCTTAGACAATATAGAAATTTAGCACTTTCATACTATAATCTACTGAATAATATTTACTTATTTATAATGATCGATATTTTGTAAGAATAAATAATAAACAGCTTTCTTTTTTATTATCTATCAATGTTACTCAATATGTTATATTAATAGAAAAAGAAAATCGGCCAACATGTACTACCTTACTAACTAAACCCCCCCTACCACATAGTATGGTGGTAGTACGTCAACATTTAAGATCTGCCTTTGGGATACTGCAAGAACAAAAAATTCACAATATAGCAGAAATACAACATTTATTTATCAAAGTAAAAATCAACATCAATAATGAACTTTTACTTTCTCAGTCACAACTAAAAAAATATTTGAAAATTAGGATATTTAGAAAGAATTAACCACTATCTACTTCCTTACGTTAACATTAATTACAGATGAGGTTTGCAAAAGAATATTTAATTGAATTGACATTATTTTGAAATTTCTCATCTTATCAGAAATGAGATTTATTGTGAAATCTTAAGATTTAGACAAAATTGTCCAAACACCCTCCTCATGCATATGGCTAAAGGTATTTATTCTAAACAAAAAATTATGAATTCATTGACAACAGAAAAGCACGAAATTTGAAAAATTACATGCATGCAGTGGCACAGAACAGAACTAGCGCTTCAGAAGTCTAATAGAAGGAACAGACTGGAAATATTGTACAATGAAATAAACAAAACATGAGTGAGCAGTAAGATCTAGGGTCACAAACAGTAATGCTTTCCTGTCTAACGTTCGAGTAAGGATTCAACATATGCATTTCACAGTATGCTGTACAATTTAATGTCATCACAGGTTTTCAAAATTTGGAAAACTTTTCACAGCCTCAAAATTTTCATAACAAAATTTTCAACATTTTTACGACTTCGACAGTTCTCAACATTTTTCAGATACTAATATTATGTGAGTATGAAAAATAGTAAAGTTTAAAATTTTAAAAACTGAAATTAAAAAAGTTATTTATATTTTGTAAATACTTTGAAACCCTACTGTGGATGCAAATCTTAAATCTCCTTTAAATGTTCCTTAGGGAAGCGTTATTGTCTGATTACAGTCCATGAAAGCAAACAATCTTCAAGAAATGCCTATAAATGTAACCTCTAGATATGTAGTTGTAAAAAGCTAAGCTTGAAGACAGTGCTCAATATTTTTACTTTCATTGACTTGACAGATATACGTAAATCTCATGTTGGACAAAACAAAAAAAAGTTCACAAATCACCATATAATATGTGTATCAGACCACTCTTTTCTTATAAGCTTGGAAGTTTTCATGAACACATATACAGATATCAAATCGCTGATATCAAAAGAGTAGTAAGAGTAAGTAGTACAGTTTCTGCAAAATTAAAACATTAGCAAAGTTATATTTTGTGATAATTTATGTACAAATATGTATATATTGTGTATTCAATTCAGTTAAATCCTATCGTAACTTTCAGAAGTTGACACGAACGTAGGCTTGCATCCAGCTAATAGGAACATTAATCCATCCTGCAAATATTTTAAAATTTTAGTAAAGGTAGATAAAGGCTGGCTCACACTGGGGGAAGCAGGTGATGCCAAAGGATAATGAGAATTATTCTTCAGGAAGGTAAAACCGCCTCACTGCTTTCTCCTGCCATTCCCCAAACTAGAAGCTAAATTTATTATAAGTACATAGATAGAAAATTTACAACGGAAGCCACCTTCGATAGGTCTCAAATTTTAGTCAGTCCTTAGGCCCGTATCGTCAGTCGTCCCTACAATTGTAGGGCGCCTTTATGGCCTCCTTGATTGTCATAGTTTTCTACTTCTCCGTGTCAGCGCTCTATTTTGAGGTTATGTCACAAACATCTATTTGCATCAAATTGTGCCTGCTTTTGAGTTATATCATGTTTTATCAGCCTGAAATTTCCTACAATTTAAAAAGAAAACATAACTTCACAATAGGAGAGCGCTGACGCTGACACGGGACAAGTGTAATCAAAAATTGTTGATGGAGAGAAAGGAGTACGACAATTAAGAAGGCCATAAACGCGCCCTACAATTGTAGGGACGACTGACGATACAGGCCTAAGTGCGACTTATCTGGTATTGGACAACGTAACGAGATAACTATCCACATAAGAAGCATGCCAATTGATGTCTCGCCAAAAATACTGATAATCAATAACTATCTATCATCTTACATGACTTGTACTTTAATAAATTCATCATAAAGCTGTACGTAATTTGCCAATGCAATTTGGAATGCATTATCAATAAAATTGTCAACAAAATAGATTAAGTGCAGAAGATGGTATTTCAATGTGCCAAAACAATCCATCAAATAATTCAAGATGCCAAAAGTTGTTGTGAATTATGATTTTTAAATCAGAAACAATTACATTAAGGTTTGTCTAGGGTGTTCAAGAACGTGTTGATGATACCTCAAACTCATACAGAACACAAAAAATATCAGTTTCTACCAATGTCTTATGTGTGCAACTCTCATATGAAGATGAATGCCCTTAAGGGGAGGCTGTATAGATAGTATAGATAAGAGTGAGTGAGGTATGAGATGGCATACAGTTTTTCATGGGGGTGCTACGGCTGGGAGCAAATACACCGACAATTGGTCAAATATTTCTTTCTTGTTACTAAACTAAATCGTATAATATTCGTAAGACCCTAAAAGTTAGATATATGTGATAATCTGCAGGTTTTGAGAATAACTTCTGTTTCATAAAGGGAATACCGGCAAAATCTCTGATCTATAACTGCATGGAAACAGAAGTTATTCCCAAAACCTGATGTCCCACAGATAGTTAACTTTTAAAAACAGTTAAATGGTGTATTCCACTTTTTTGTAGAAATACGTGAAGTGACTCTTATACTAATCAGAAGAATATATACCAGGGTTTTCAAATTCGACCCTCACCATTGGGATCTCGGAAAGAGTAAGAGATATGAAGTCATTTAATGGGGCAAAGTTGCATATTTAGGTAACAAACAAAATGCCGCTGAGAAAGTTGCGAAATTCAAAGTACTTGTAGTGTGATTTCAAAATAAATTACACATCAACATTGCAACAAGATGGCATAACTAGAATTTCAGTATGACGCTGCGTCTCTTGTCCTCCAGCGTCAACTTTATTTTTTCTTATGGACGCCATATTGGATTTTTACATAGGTGAACAAAGTTTATAATTCTGATTCCAAAAATGTATAATATGTCTTACAATGTCATTGTCAAACCTTAGTTATTTCAGAAAAACGGAATTTCCTAGCTAGGCCTTGAAACTATCAGACAGTCATTTGTTTCATATACCAGATCAGACCTCCCATTGAACATAGTAACAGAGTTTGGAGACTGAGAAGAAGAAAAATAAACCGAGTAGTCAACAATGTACAGGGAGGCCAACTAAGAAATGCGAGGTACTGTATCTGGGAACCTATCCATCGTAGAAGCTTGCGGCAAAAACAGCTATTACTAAAATGGCCAAGAGAAAAATCTGGAAAATATTTACAAGTTTCTGAAATGCCGCTAAGGGGCATAACAGCAATCTTGAATCTAAAAAGCTGATGTTTCTGCGAATTCTGCTATATAAACCTAACAAAACAATACATGATCTTTAAATTCAAGGATAATCTGAACCATTTTTGTTTGACAATTTTTGCTGTATCTCTAAAAATAAAGTGGTGGAGGTAATCAAAGATTTCCGTAATAAACATCCTGTATCTTCGAAACGACTGAGTCGATTTTAAGAAACTTGGGTTAGTTGAAAAGAGCCATGCTTGGGCTACAAATGCTATAATATTTGAAGGATTGTTAGTTTCACATGTGGTCGCTAAAGGGTTTTAATCGCCATGGAGCCGTGCACGGGAGCGCAGCATGCATTTTGTGTCCGAGCGAATTATGAAAACAATAAATTGATTATTACTGCACGACGTTTGTACCGACATGAACACGGTTTACGCGATTTAAGAGAAGTTCCAAGCGAAAATGTGATACGAAAATGGATCAGAATGTTCGAAATAACCGGCTCGACAGTAGCAATAACAGCTCGTGGTCGTCCAGTTTCTGCAAGATCAGCCAACAATGTAGAGCGTGTTCGTGTTCCAGTTCAGCGAAATCCGCAACAGTCAACACGTAAGAGAAGAAAGTTTTAATTGAATATTGAAATTGTCAACGCCTTTATGGCCCACCCTGTACTTAATAAAAACATAAATAATCCTCAAATAGCCAAACTTCAAATATTATAACATTTGTAGCCCAAGAACAGCTCTTTTCCACTAGCACAAGTTTGTTAAAATCGGCTCAGCCGCTTCGAAGCTACAGGGTGGTTTTACGGAAACCTTTGAATACCCCCCAACACTTTATTTTTAGAGATACAGCAAAAATTGTCAAACAAAAAAGTTTACACTATCTTTGATTTTAAAGATATTTTTTTGTTACGTTAATATAGTAGAATTCACAAAAACATGACTTTTCAAGATTACTGTTACGCCCCTAGCAGCCATTTCAGAAACTTGAAAATATTTACCAGGTTTTTCTCTTGGCAGTTTTAGTGAGAACTTTTCAGGCCTTATCTACAAAATAACAAACAAGGTTGTGACCATCTACTATGATTTACCTCTGCTTATTTATGATTATTGTTATTATTAACATGAATAAAATTTTCAAGGTCAATCATGAGATCTTGATTAATAAGTTACGTTGTCTAGGAATTTGCGGGGATCTTTTATCATGGCTAAAGTCTTACCTCACTGACCGAAAACAAATAGTGCGTATACAAAGCTTTCAATCAAACGAGATTAATGTGCCATCTGGATTACCTCAAGGTTCCCATCTGGGTCCCCTTCTGTTCAATATATACGTAAATGATATTATATACTGTTTTAAGTCTGTTAGTTTTCTAATGTTTGCAGAATATTTGAAATTATTCTGAAAAATCAAATATAAAAATGATTTGAATTCATTAAGTCTCTGGTGTCAAATGAATAGAATGGAACTTAATGTGGAAAAATGCAATTTATGGTCTTCAGCCGAAACAGGGACCCCATTGATCATACTTATACCATGGAAGGTTGTCCACTAAAGAGTGTATCCCAAGTTAGGGATTTAGGGGTAATTCTTGACCCAAAATTATCTTTTATTACCCATATAAATATGATTGTTTCTAAATCTCTTCAACTGTTGGGATTTATAAAACAATGTGCTAAGGATTTTCATAATACTCAGTCATTTAAAACGTTGTTTTGTTCTTTGGTGAGGCCCATCTGGAATATTGTTCTTGTGTTTGGTCAAACAATTATAATGTTCATATTCAGGCAATTGAGAGAGTGCAACATAAATTCTTAAGATTCATCTCATTCAAACAAAACGTTATGGTAGAAGATATTATCTATTCCGTCATTGAAAGCTCTCTCAACATCTCAACTCTTCAGGTAAGACGGAATCAGAGGGACCTGTCACTATTTTATAATATTTTGCACTCTCTTAGTTTTGCTCCAGAACTTTTGAAAAATATTAATCTCCATGTGCCTTCTCGTCAAACAAGACTGAATCAACCATTCCATGTGAGATCATTTCGTACTAATTATGCTAGCAATTCCTTCCTGTCTAGATCTTCAAGGTTAGCAAATCACTATTCTAACAAGTTGGATTTCTTCAGAAGTCAGAAAGCATTCAAAATTCAATTAGATTCCTGTCAGTTTCCTCATATATGTATATTTCAATTAAATTCGTTTCAATTTAGAAATGATCTGTATTGTAAAGTGTTTATGATTGTTTTAAGTGTTAAATATCTAAATCAAAGTAGGGTTAGGTTTACATTAGATCTTCTATAATTCTTCTAATAAATAAATAAATAAATTCCATGTTTCTTATAATTTTTAACCTTTTTATTTCCTTATAATTTTCGTTCCAACATTAATTCATAATCAACTAACGAAATATATCACTGAATTTAGGACTGAAAATTCCATTTAAATACACAAAATTCCAATATAGCCTAGTTAATACGATTTTGTGAAAAATATGTTTTTTCTATCTCTCTCTGGAAGTACTTTGAGTTTCGAAACCTCCTAAGCGGCATTTTGTTGGCTACCTAAATACGCAACTTTGCCCCCATTCAAGCGACTTCGTATATCTTACCGTTTCCGAGATCCCAATAATGAGGGTCGAATTTGAAACTCCCAGTATATCATATTGTTATTTCACAATTTACCTTCACAAGACTGGGCAAGTTCCTCCAGAACTCAATATTTGGGATCACCTCTACACCTCTGGCTCCTCTAATGAAGTATAGCATTAAACCTCCGCCCACCAGGTATATTGTCAGAAAAACTAAGAGCATTATTAAAAATATTGATCCACCTGACAATCCATGGTGTATTGTGATTATGCAAGCCTGTTGTGATGAAAAGATTAATTGCTGAAAATAAACGAGAGAGCATACAGAAATGAAATCCCTAGAACACATATACCACAGCATAATTGTGTAGCAATCTGTAATGCTATACCTAGAGATTAGAGTTATGTTGATAGCAAATGTAGTTCTAAAAATAATAGTTTTTAATTATCTAACTGATAAATGTTTTTATCCTATTAACGAATTTTTAAATTGTGGATGTTGATACCGTTAAAATGGTTCTTTTTGAATATTTTTTTTATATAATTTTTAATCTTGTCAATTACTTTAATGTGTTACATCTATGTATGCATGTCTATATGTATACAGTGAGAGCCAAATTTGTTTGACGGCTTGAGTTCATCATTAACTTGGGATGTGTTGATTTTATCACCATCGGTGGAAATCAAAGATAATTTGAAAATAAATTAAAAACTAAGTCACATCAAAAATGAAATAAATATTTCTAATCAAAATGAAAACAAGATATTAAATAAAATGTTCGAACAGTGGCTTCTTGGGTTTGTCAGTAACCTAACCTATTGTAGAAGCCTGTGCGAACATTTTCTACGTCACTGTTGCCAGGCAGTGTGGTGATGACCTTCGCTCTTCAGCTGGTTTCTATCTTGTTCTTATATGTGTTGATCGACTCTTTTCGCGGTTCTCTCTCGTACGCATTGAACTCAAGCCATCAGACAAATTTGGTTTTCCCTGTATGTATTGATGCACTACTACAATTTCAAATTTCAACTCATTGTTTCAATTTTATGAATGCATCTTCAGATAACCCATTTTTCCATCTTCAATATTTTTTGTCAGTTGCCATTTATACCACGTGTTTGTATTTTGGCTATATAAAATATTACTTTACTACTATATGACAACTTACATTTGATTTTGTGTCCAATACTTTTATGAATGGGGCAGGTTCATTATCACATAATAATTTGACTGTAGGAAGCGTTCTGAAAAGAAAAACAATTAGAATTAACTACACTACTACTTAAATGGTAATGGATTATAACATTCACTAGTTTGTGCTATCAATGTGTCCTAGAGTCTCTTATATGCATATAGAATACAAAAAATAAGTCAACAATATCCTACAAACAATATTCTACAGGGCTCCCCTACAGAGGCAGGCCCCTAAATGTTGCTACTGGAAATTTGTTTATCTCATATAACTTTTGAATAACACTGCAGAATTTAAAAAATTCTAACTGCTTAGTAACTAGATGGGGCATCACATGACAGTGTACATATTAACACAACCTAATCACTCAGGGACAAACTAGGCCCAATGCAATATTGCCAAAATCTTTACCCCCTGCATATTGCATCAGGGCTTGGCTGTTCCTGGCAATTTAACTGAACCAACAAATTCAGACTAGGTAGGAGCCAGTCAAGGATTTGGTTGTCTCCTAATTCTCATAGTCTGTAGTGACGATCTAACTGCATACAACAATGAAGTGCAAAAGGCTTTCGCGGCCATCATCCAATGTTATTTGGTTGGTTTTTGGGTAGTTAGGCCAGCATAAAATATTTTTACTTGCCGTTTCACCAACCAAGATGCCAACCATTCGTATTGGCGACGCGTCTAGTAAAAATGTATGATGGCCTAACTACCCAAAACTAGGTTAAGTGATGATAATATTGTTAATTTTCATTTGCTACATGCGGTATCTATCTGATATTGAAAAATATTTCAAATACAATTAGCTCAAAACTACTTATTTGGACTTAACATAGTCTGGTTCTGAGGTACAAAAGTGCTCTTGCAGTAAGTCAATTTTTTGACAGTTCTGACATTAGATTTGTATTTTGAGTGTTATTTTTTAAGATTGCGAGTGTTTGCAGATAATTGTGGTGTTAGAGGATTTCATGACATGGTACTTCTTTCATAATTTGCAAAGAGAAGCACATGCCTAATAAAGGCAGATGTTACTAGTCAAAAGAGTCAAAAGAATGCAATTTTAGTGACAAACAATGCATTGTAAACATATAGGCTTGGCTCTTGACCTATTCAAATTCATTGAACTGTATTGTTTTCCATAGATGTCATCAAGTAAGTCTCCAACTGGTTGCTAAACTGTCAAAATTTCATTTTAATTATACAGTGTCATCCAAAGGTTACTTGAAAGAAAAACATTTTCCAGTTGCAAAGGAATTTCTGTCACAAATTTTCTTGTGTTGGATATATATATACATATATATAGGTGCAACCATGAAGTGGTTTCACGATGTAATGCTTAACTTTCATTTTAAATATTTTTAATCTGTTTTTAATTTGTTCTTGTCATACAGCTATGTGTAGGTTATTAATTTTGACTATTGTACCATGTATCCAGCTTTCACCATGTTACTGGGTGTTTCCCTCATCCTTAACGTAAATAACATTTAGCAACATCCTCATATACTACTCTCCTGATGATGATGATGGCAAAGACTATTGAAAGCTAGAGAAATTAAAAAAGTATAAAGAGTCCTTGCTTAAATTTTGTTGTAGTACCCAACAGGAAGCTTTAATTTTTCACATATATATATAAATATATATATATATATATTTAATATATGTTTATATGAGAGACTGAAGGACTTCCATAGACACATACAGAAGAAATTTTAAGATTTAAGACCTGATCTATGATGGATATTTGAGGACAAGCCTAAAAAAATACTAATAAATATATAGATAGCAAATGTGCAAACTTACGTCATGTTACTTATATTGTAGATGAGCTGATGCATAGAACCTTCCTTGTGCCATTTTATATTCTCTGCCTTGCCCAATACAGTATAGTTGAAAACTACTGATTTTTCTTTTGTTGAGTTAGGCCATACTTTTAAAAGCTACAATATTTTTTTATAGCATGAGTAAAAGCGAGGAGCAAATATCACTTAGTTCTTAGAACAAGTTAAAATTATTTTTAAATGTCAAATTCATTCTCTCCTATCACAACCAAATCAACCTGCTCTCTTATTACAGTATATACATTTTATGCCTTCAAGTTCTGAAGAATCATTCCAAATATTATTGGAATGTGTCATGTACATTTAAAATAACTTTTTTATTTGAAATGGTGTACTTACAGATGCGGTGTTTGTAATATTTATGCCTGGTAGGTTCAGATCAGATAGCTTAAAATCTTTACACCCTGAGAAATAATACGTATAGTTAGAATCTGTATCTCTTAACGTTTTCTTATCTCCCAGTGCTGATGATATATCTATGTGGTTGAACTCATCTATGATATGCACGCAAGGATGAAGTGCATTATTAATGTCGTCACTGCCCTTTATCGTACTGCACAAACACAAAATCATGAGATACGTAAAACTAGCCAGGATAGTCTTCATTTTACTTCATTATTGTTGAAATGTTCTATTTCTAAATAACGCATATCAGTGCGTCGATTTCCAAAATAAATAAATGAGGTTAGGTTAGGTGTCAAAGTCATAAAGTGTCAAAAATTAGAAAGGGATTCACAGAACACGTTGGGCTGCGTTCACATTTACGGAGCATTGTGGAGAGTAAAAAAATTGCATGGGCTTAAAGTACTCCCTATTTCACTACAATCCATCACGCTTTGACGTCTACTAAGGTGAACAGCAGATCAGCAAGTGACATTTTTTTCTTAAATCGAGCAAACATTTTTTTGTAGCCTTTTGTTTTTTGTATTCAAATGAATGTTTCTAAATAAAAGAGCAAAATGAATCTGTAGCGTACAAAAAAACAAAACAAAATATGGCTCTGTCTATCTGGCATTGACGGATCCGTCAGAATTATGTGTCCTTTGCCGATATAGGGAATTTTGAAATATTACTAGATAACCAGCTGTCATTCTACCGTGATGGATACTCGTGAAATAGGATATATGAACGATTTGACGTTTTGATGACGCACAATGGAGTAAACTCAAACTAGCTTTTTGGTTTTGTTTTTCCAGGGTTTTTATCATATCGGAATTCAGATTGCGGGATTTCTTCACGGATTCAATATTTTAAGCTGTAAATAATTATAGTTGCTCATCTAAGGAGTTCCAATATGACTTTTGGGTCACAAAAAAGATTCAGCATTTCAAAAATCATTTGAAAATAGCAAGGGAGCATTACTAATACATTTCAAGGGTAGATATGATCATCTGAATACAATACAAACTGATACGTCAAGTGTGCAAGTCGTACAAACTAAATTTATCTATTTAATGGGATCTAGGGTATGAAGTGGAAAAAACTTGTCTGGGCGCTGAATATGAACGCCACCGATCAGCATCCAGGTAGAACAACAAATCTGAATATATATTAAAAGGAGCCAAGTCTATATGTTTACATTGCATTGTTTGTACCCAAAATTACGTCTTAGTGCATACTTTCGATTCATTTTACTACCACTGCCCACCAAAGCGGCAGCGTTGTACCGTTGTATCAAAATAACAAATATACTTTCCGATGGAAACATCTACGATCATCAGTCTTGTACAGAGCTCTTTGCAAATTATGTGAAAAGTACCATGTCGTGAATTCGTCTAACGCCACAATCATCTGTAAACACTAACACTTTTAAAAAAATAACACAACAAATGCGAATTTAATAACAGAACTGTCAAACATTTATTAATTGAAAGTTGCAAGTGCACTTGTAGTATGTACTTTGATCTACACTATAGACTATAAGAATCGGGAGACAAACAAAACCTTGGCTGACTCCTTCTACCTAGTCTGAATTCGTTTAGTGAAACCAATCTTTAAAAGTGAACGAGAGGTGTGCGCGCGCTTAGTGCGCGCCTTGAGCGTAAATAAGGATTTTTTCGCGAGTCCGTCCACGGTGTAGCACAGTGCACTACCGGGGACCGATACTCAAATTTTCGAGTTAAATCATAAATGGAGGAACACGTCGACCTGATTTTAAATGACGAGGGATTGATTTTATTGATATGTATGTACATTGCACAAAAAACGATCGGTCTTTTTATTTCAGATTCAAACAAGGCAGCTAAGTTTATCAAGGAACTTAAAGCAAACATTTTGCGCAACATGCGCCATCTAACCACTCCCGGTGTATCTTGAAACTGTCAAAACTTCGAGAGGAAGGGAAAATTCAATCTTTCTGCTCCGGTTCATTACGGGATCTCGCGAAAAATTCTCTAATGTGAACGCAGCCCGAGTCAGCTATGACGTATAATACGCAATTTTCAGTTTTTACATCTTAATATGTTTTATGCATCCAGTGCTGCCAAGCCTACCGATTTCTCGGTATTCTTACCAAAACAAGACTACCGAAAACGCCCTTATTTTCCACGATTTCTTAGAATACTTCCGCTATTTCCAGGTATTTTCACCGAAAGGAAGCTAGAACCAAAAATAAACCTAAAAAATTAATTCTATGTCGTAGTCTATGTGGTTTATTTATGTCCCATATCCTATACCAATCATACATATGCGTACATTTGGGTCTTCAAGCACAGGAGAATTTGGTTTGCAACTAATTATGTACGCACAACCCTTACTGCACGTTCCCTGTATTGGATTTTGCACGCGCAAGAGGTACAAACTGTTAAATCACAAACAATAAAGAAACCAAAGCTCGTCTGTTTTTAATAATTTAATACTAAATTAAAATGTCAGGTGATGAGATGTTTCAAGTGTAGGGGTAAATCGGGAAAATATTCACATCTTATCCACAGGAATAGAAAAAAGAGTTTCCAGGATAGTTCCAAAGCAGTTTGAAGAGCAACGAGTATGCTCATTGTAAAAGCTGTAATAAATATGTTAGTATTTTATCAGCAAAAGAAAGATATAAAAAACCTGTGCTGTGTGTGCACGCGCAATTCAAAAATATGTTATTTTTCACAGACGCCGCTGCGTGACGCAAAGGTCCACACTGCTGGTCTAGGGACGGTCGTCATTTTTCCCTCCTACCGATTTCGTCTTTTTCGGACTGGCAACACTGTATGCAAATATGTTTTGAATTTGAATGACTTCTTTGAATTCTTGGAATGAATGCTCTTATCGCTTAGTTTATAATTTGATAAAATAGATATGAGCAAATGTGTAGGGCCTGCGAGAATGCATATCACAAGCATACAGAGCTCATGAAATTTGAGTGAAAAAGTTCATTTTATAATGACTCCTAGTATTGTTGTTGTTGGATCCTGCATGATAGATTTTGTTAGGTAAAACATTAAAATGGTTCCTCATTATTATGTTTATCTCATTATTTCTTTCTAAACTTAGTTATGCACCCAGACTGCCGATAGCAGGAGAAACTATACATGGTACGAAATTTGTCAACAATTTTGGAGGTAAAGGGGCCAACCAATGTGTTGCTGCTGCAAAACTTGGAGGAAATGTGACAATGATTGGCAGGGTAAGATGCTACATATTTTCCTGTTAGATTGATATCTTTACTTTTTTACATTATCAATACCCAGCCACATTCATATGGCTTGGTGGAACATCTAATAATATGGGAAAACATATGTACTGTGAGTAGTAACATATCTAATTTCCTGTTGTTTAGGTAGGTGATGATATTTGGGGTGTAAAGTACATAGATTATCTTAATGGCCTGAATGTAAATTCAGAATATGTGAGAACAACTACAGACTGTTCAACAGGTGTTGCACAGATTATTGTTTCTGAATCTGGTGAAAATCAAATAGTGATTACTGCAGGTGCAAATCAGAAATTAGATGTAACAGATGTGAAATTGGCTGAACACATAATTAGACATGCAGATGTACTTGTGCTACAGTTAGAGACTCCACCTGAGGTGGCAATTGAGGCACTTGAAATGTGCACTGGTGTAAGTATAGTGGTTATTAAGAGTAATATTGATATTTAGGATTCAATGAGCATTGAAAAGCTGATATGAAATTTTATTTTCATAAGCATGAAACAGTGTTTTCATCAAATTTACGTTTTTTCGCTTTTCACATGTTGGCCTACAACTTACGCCGGCTCCACACGTTGTCCCCACGCCACTCGCTCAACGTGTGTATCTAGAAAATAGTGTTGGCCCCAACGTTGGAGCGACCGCTGGTAGTTGGCTGTCAATTGTCGGTTTTATTCAAAGGAATCTGCGCCAACGTTGGCAATCAACAACATGTCATCAACAACATCGCTAGCCGCGTGGACAAACGAAAAAGTTGTAGAATTTTTAGAGTTATACCAGGCGCATCCAATAATATGGAACGCCTCTCGCAAGGACCATAAAAATAAAAATTTAGTAGCTGATGCATGGCTCAATATTCAACAGAATATGCAAAATGATTTATTGTTATGATTATTATATAGGAATTAAAAAAGAAACGAGAATCATTGATTAGCACATATCGCCTATATCGAAAGAAAATTTTGGACTCTACTCATTCTGGGTCATCGGTGGATGATATTTTTAAACCGAATTGGTTCGCCTATGATCTAATGGACAGCTTTCTTGCTCCGATTTATGATAAAACAGATACATACACGATTAATACAGAGGTAAGTTAAACATCAATTAATCATTACTTTTATTTATTTACACATTCATAAACAAAGTCATTAAATTATGACAAATTGATTTGATACATAGTTTATTCAATGTGAGTAAAGGTATGATGCGAATTCATTTCTTATTTCTCTTGCATTTTCAGTTGCTCTTATTGGTATTTGATCTGAGGACCTTAATGGTTGCTCTTGTAAAACATTATATATGTTACCCTTTGGCATATACATCCATCGAGAGTGCTCGCTGTTTTTTTAAAAATTATGAAGTACAACGCAAGTCAGTATCATAATAGATGCTTTTACGGGTTGTAGCAGCAAATTGGTTTTCAACACTCGAAACACCGATGTCAAATGCACATTCAATCACAACACGAGCGCGTGAATTTTCTATTTGCTGAGCCAGCTGCCGGTGTGCCAGAAAACGGTTTCATGATTCTTCTAGATAATCCAAAACCTCCATCTGCCACAAAAACATAGGGCACAGGAAGATGTCGGTCAGGTAGAGGAGTGTCTTCCGGAAAATTGGAATTGGAACCATATATTTTGTTATGTATGCTATCATTAACAACTCCAGCGTCATTCATTCGTCCATGTGTTCGTACGTCGGCAAATGAAAAGTTGTATTCACTATCAGCTACTGCTAGTAATATTATACTGAAGTTGTGTTTATAGTTATAGAACTCTGATCCACTATTAATAGGTGACTCTATTTTTATGTGTTTGCCATCTATAGCACCCAAACAATGTGGAAATTGCCATTTTGTTTCAAAGCCTCTAGCAACTTCAAGCCATCCCTGATCATTTGGAGGCATCTGAAACAGAAAAAAACATATGAAAATTAACCTGTGGTGTTTTGATTTTAGAGTATGAAGTTTCCTGACGAGGACAGCATGCAAGATAATTTGTCCGCTGGCGATACTTCCACACCATCAGTCAAAAAACGCAGAGAATCTGAAATTTCTGAAGTACGAGCTCAAATGAAGACAGCTGTAAATGTCCTTAAAAATATCTCAGATCGACCGCGCGTTGAAGTGGATGAGGTACATTTATATTGTTAACTACTGGCCAAAAAGATTAAAAAATTTAATGAGCCACAAAGGGAGATAATAATGCATGATATAGACGAACTAATTTTTCGGAGGCGAAAGGACTCTTACTTAAATATCAGTAGCCCTTCTAGCTGCAGCACATACTACTCGTACGCAAGATGTACCCCGGATTCCTTGGCACCTACACCATCCCCTTCATCTCAGGTTTTACAAAGCACTGTATACCAGATTGCTAATGATTCTGGTGATTATACAATTGTGCAACCACATTACAGCCCAGCAGAATATGTGATAGATCCTTCTACCTCCTCCACTTCTACTCAAAAGGTGGCAATTATATCAAATGACATTGTTTCACAGGCACTTACTCTCTCTCACATACAAAACAAGAATTAAATGCTAATGAAATATTTCATTTTACTTTATAATTTTTTTCAATAAATGTGTTTTTGCTTTTTAATTATGGTTTTGAACATAATACAGGGTGCGGCAGAGAGGACGGACGTTTTTGGGATGGGTGGTACTCTCCGCCTCCGTCTACGAGAGAGGTGGGGAGGGTGCCGTTTGACTCGTGAGATCCTAGCATTATTTTACCAGTTGTCGTTATGGAGCCTTGGACGGTGGAGCACCGCGTTTTCGCCTATGAGTGACGAAGCCCACTTTCACCTAAACAGCATGGTTAACCAGCAGAATTGTCGTTATTGGGCTGATGAAAATCCGCAACAGTTACACGAAAGACCGCTACACAGCCCAAAAGTAACGGTTTGGTGCGCTGTATGGCAAACTTGCATCATTGACCTTTACTTCTTCGAAGACGGTAATGATCGTGATGCTACCGTGAACTTGGAGCGCTACGTCGACATGATCACCAACTTCTTTCTCCCTGAATTACGACGGCGACGTGTTCCAATCTGATGTGTGTGGTTCCAGCAGGATGGGACGACGCCCTCTCTTCCCTGGTCGCCTTATTTCCAGGTTTGGCGATGTTCATTGGCCTCCTCGGTCCCCAGATTTATCCATATGCGATTTTTTCTTATGGGGAAACCTCAAGGCTAGAGTATACGCGAACAAGCCCCGAACTCTGGGCGAATTGAAGGGCGAAATTCACGTGGAGGTCGCCCAAGTTGAGAGAGCGATGTTGGAGAGAGTCTACGCGAACTTCCAAGAACGCCTCCAGCACTGCATCAACGATTTCGGCCACCACATGCCTGATGTGATTTTCCACACTTGACTGTCTCAAATGCTATTTCCTTGTGAACCTGATTCCATCAATAAATTTGTTTTCGAGTAAAAATTAACTATTTTATGATTTTTTTAAAACCGTCCATCCTCTGTGCCGCACCCTGTATATAAAAAATACTGACCTTTACAAAAGAACGCAATGCCTCACATAGCGCTTTACAGACTTCGGGCACGATCAGTGATATAACTTGTGGGGAAATCTTGAATAAGTAATGAAGACTTTTGAATGAATCTCCAGTTGCAAAAAATCTAAGCAAGGCGTACTTTAGCTGGTATCGATTCTCTGAATACCGTATCTTGTTTTTTTATTCTTGGTCCAATCAACTGTAGCAGGTATTCGAAGTCTATTGAAGACATACGACAAAAGTTATCAAACTGTCCTGAGGGCTCTTGATTCAAATTATTTAGCAATCGAGTTCCATCGTAACTGAAAAATAAAATGTAGAGATAAGATAAGGATGTCTATCATGGGGATCTTGGAAAACAAAAGAGATGGTTAAATTAGAGAAATGCTGCGCATTTTCAAGCCTAACAATATGCCGTTCAGAAAGCTTTAAAATTCCGAGTTGTTCAAGATGTATGCATAAAAAATGCTATTTAATACAGGGCATACTTTTTTACGCGCCATATAAAAAAATAAAGTTGATGATGGTTTCTCCGAAACGAAACGTCGTGCGGAAAATCTCTCAACGCTGTTTTGTAGAGCTTAAAAAGTAGCCATAAAAATGTGTCTTGTTTTTCCATATCTCTTTAAATAACGTCAGAAAAAATAAAAACGAAATCGGCAAATTTCGGTTTTTTAGGCATACCTCCGGAACAACTCGGAATTTTAAAACTTTCTAAACAGCATATTGTTAGGCTTGAAATTTAACCATCTTCGTATCACTTTTGTTTTCCAAGATCCTTATGATAGACATCCTTATCTTGGACACACTGTATACACATTATTAGATAATTTAATACTAAGTTGCCTTGTAAAAAGCTGCTAGAATGGAGTTTATGGTCTGTACTTACTGGTACCGAGTTTTATGATGCGTTGTCATCCACCATCTCCTTTGACGTGGATTTTTCTTTTTTGTCAATAACAAATATAAATTATACGCACTCATCAGTACTGTAAAAGCGCTTAGAGCAATTTCGGTTTCGGTGTCGGTAATCTTCACATTGGCTCTGACAGAAAGGAACTAGTATAATAACCAACGTGTGGACGCTTCACCAACTTAACCGACCAAAGTTGGTACCATCGTTGGGGCCAACGTGTGGAGCCGGCGTTAATGTTAATGAAAATGTTGCATTTCCAGAAATTTATTCATTTTGAGTCCTAATTTTTATCTTAAATATGCTTTGTCACCAGCTCTTACAAGTGTCACTTCTAGATTTTTTTCATATGTATGCCCTTGGTAGGAGAATTGATTTTATACAAAATGATTTAATTTTTACTTAACCTCTTTTGAGGCATTTTTTAAATTTCCAGCTACCTAATTCGTACATGTATATATAAATTATCACAAAATATAGCAGAACACTGCACAGAGTAATATATTTTAGATTTCAATTTTGAATGGTGCTCCAGCTATTGCTAAATTTGATTCCCGCCTCTTGAATTTGCCAACCATATTTTGTGTGAATGAATCAGAAGCATCAATTTTTAGTGGACATCATGTTAGAAATGAAAGGTGAGGTACTTATTTAGTTTTTTTTATGATACTGCCTGTCAGAAAAGGCATCCAGCAACACTGATAAATAATCTTTCACATCTGATAAAGTGTTTTTGCTAAAAAAATTTACTACAACTAATGGCTATCCATCAATTGTATACCTCATCAGTACATTTTTCTTTGCCTCATGACCTGATTTGGTAAGTATATGGTATGATCCCCATGTTTGATGACTGATGAAACCACATATGTTACCATGCAGTTTTTGTGCAATTGATACAATTGTTTTCAGCGAAGCAAAAAGGGCAGCATTAGAACTACTTCACAAAGGCTGCAACAGCGTGATAATAACGCTAGGTGATGATGGAGCCATGTACGTAAACAAATCGGAAAAAGTCATTCATGTTCCAGCTCCGGTGGTAAATCCTGTCGACACGACAGGAGCGGGAGATGCCTTCATTGGGGCACTGGCTTATCTGTTGGCTTACAAGAAGGACATGGAGATAGAAATGTGTGTTGGGTTAGCTTGTGCTGCAGCTGCGGATAGCGTCACTAAGCCTGGCACTCAGGCTAGCTTTCCTGGACCTGAAGTTTTTGGGATGGATTGAAAGGATATGTATGATTGAAGGAATTTATCACTTATTTTTTATATTGAAAAGCATTGATTGGCGTATTCAGAGGATAGCCAACCGGATGCTATATTCGCGTATCCAAAAAATTGTCCGAGATAAAATGAGTTACTGTAGCGTCATTCGTGAGAATATGTCCCATTTACTATATATATATATATATATATATATATATATATATATATATATATATATATATATATATATATATATATATGTCAAGGTTAGAGTCTCATGTATTGCGCTGTCTGTATGAACAAATACAAGCATATAGGTTATTACAGCTCATATATACATATAGTGAATAGAGATACAGCTGTGACAAGTCCTCATATATGATGCTACAGAATCTCATTTTATCTTGCATAAGTTGATAGAATATGTTAATTAGTGGTTGAATACAGTGAATTTGTATTATTATAAAGTAAAAAATGGCGTCAAGTAGATTGATTCTGTACTTCCTGTGCTTTTGAAATGGCTTCTAGTACAATTTTCCATGTAATGCAATTTCGCAGTGACATCAGAATGACGCAGGTTGTGTCAGAAACATTAATGCACTAACAGAGAATATGCATGTTTTTGTTTTGTATTTTCTGTCAACTACTTAAGTCAATATAGTTCCGTAAACCTTTTTTCACGAGTATACATGACGCTTTGAGCTGAACAGCTGATCACAAAAGCGACATCTTTGTGTTAACTTGTAACGTTGACAATAATGAATTTCGGAACCGTATTCAGAGCTGTTGTCCACATATCAGGATTATACGGGTGGGAAATGTGACAATAAAATGTACAAGTACAGATATAGGAAAGTTTATTAGAAAATTATTATAGTACATCTGGGATTTGTTGATTACATGGTATGTCAATAGAACAGGTTGCGCAGTCCTTTCCAGAAGCTGTAAATTTACCAGTAAAAATAATATAGACACGTGTTTCTGGTTTATTTTTTTGTCAACAGTGTAACGGTATTCATCACATTACATCAGAACTTATACATTCACCGAAAATTCCGAAAACGACCCACCACCATGCCATACTATTGTGATACATCACATGCATCATACCACTCGAACAGCAAAATAAAAATAAAATATACTTCCAGGAATGTCCCATTTCCTCAATATGTAATGATGGCATAGCATGAATTTGCTGACTTGGTATATCATTATGAATATCTTACTCTCTTTAAAACAAGAGTAAAATACATTTCTTATTTTCCTCCCACAAGTCCTATTAGCTTCCACGCGACCTTGGCGTTTTCTTTGGATTTTTGCAGGGTTCTCAACAGTTGGCCCATGCCTGTATTCACGAACACTGCAGTGTCCCAGTTGTGTATATTTCATGCAATAGTTGTACATTTAACTTACATTTTTCTATTTTATTACTTGTTAGAATTACCTGAGTAATGTCCAGACGTAATTGAGGGAATCGAACCTCTATCAACTTGGTCATATACTGAAACACATTCTGAACAAAATGCATGGCTGTTACATTGCCCTTTAAGATAACATGGTGTTTTGAGTTCCAAAAAGTAGATATAATTAATATAGTCAAAAACTGTTTATCTTAGTTTAGTCCTACCTGACTTAAAATGTAGTCCTGGTCATTAGCAGCCATTGTGCCTGTAGCGTTTCTTTCGTACGCAAAGAAACTTTTTTAAATAAAAGAGTTGTTACGAAGTACAAAATGAATCTGTAGTGTACAACACAAAACATATACACAACGAACCACACCAAAATATGGGTCTGTCTATCTGGAGTTGACCGATCCCTCGGAATTAATTGTGTCCTATGCCGATATGGCGAATTTTTTTTTTACTAGATAACTCCCGTGATGGATACTCGTGAAATGGGGTGTAAATATTTGGAAATTCATGGAAACATCTATATTTATTTTTAACGAAAAATTTTGAACTGTAGTACTAATGACGTTGACTTAAATGCCGCATTTTGGTGCGCATCGCAGTGACGTCCCAACTCATGATTGGGCATTTGATTGATTCTTGATTAAGTAATTGTCGCGTTTTTGACATACGATTACAAAGTATTTATAGGTTATATTTATTACTGCATATCACATTGAAAAGCAAGAAAATCGAACTGAAGGGTTGACAATCAATGACAGTGAAAACAAATGGCTGCCAATTTAAATCGGATTGACTGGGCTTCATTCGTAAATTGTTACAGAGTGTACTTTGTACTAATCTGAAACAATTTTAGCGTTCGCAATTTTTTTACGTACCCGTTACATGCGTTCGGAAATGGAACAAATTAATCCTTCTGGTCTTGGAACGTCAAAAGTGCGCTCTTCTTCCCGTACTCAAAACCTTGGGAATAAGAGTATTGTCGCTTATCATTCTCATGGTTCTTTTACTTTATTTGGTTATCAAAAAGTGCTTAAAACTGCCAGAATATATATTTTCACGATAAATGGATCCATAGGGTTTCTTATAATAACTAGAATGGTGGCAGAAAACGTGGTTAGAAATCATTCGACTGTCATAAGGTGTAATCATTTATGCGTTCTAAAAATAAAGTTTTACAGTATTCCAGAGTAAAATTTCATTTTTCATTTCATTACTGAGTACCAACTGATTTACAAACGTACTCCTAATCAACAAATGGCTGACTGGTCACAAGTCGCAAATGTGGCTTCACGCCAATAGCGTTGCATTTCGACATTTTGGATTTACCCCATATTTTTTCCATTTTTAGTTCCTACGCCACTGGGCGAGGACTATTGTAATCGCGAAAAATTTCGAATACGAGATTTGTTTTTGGAAGCTATATGACATACGTTCTGTAATCATAGGCCCCTCTATAACTGGGAAAGTACTTTCTCGGATTTCTATGAAATTTTTACACAAGGTTACTACTACTCCGAGGAAGAAAAATAGTTTTGAAAATCGATCCTGTGGGGACGGAGAATTAGGCCAGAAACAAAAAAAAAACGCCCAAACACCGTTTTTTGACGTTTCAGAGGATCCTGATGATTTTTGAAAAAAATTATAAGGGTAAATAAATAGAGGGTGTATCTCAGTTTTTTGTTGTTAGTACATTGATTTGCTCCCAACCGGGGTAGTTCTACGCACCTATTAACCATATTTCGTGGAGCATAGATTTCACCGTTCATTTATTGTCTTTAAAACTCAGAATTATAGAAAAATATTTTCGATACGCGTCTTCTGCTAACTGGGCTCAGCGCCCGAAGTACCAATCTGCTTGATAGTTCTTGCACTGCGGCGGCATTTCGGTGGGCACTGCTGCCTGCTGCGTTTGACGCTATGATGGTAAATGGCAACGATGCCAGATGGACGATAACTACCGGTAGTTCAGGATATAATCAGGTCAATTCTGTTTGCATCTGGCCTAACATATTGCTATCTTAACCATATTGCTCGAACTGAAACTATTAACAAGACTGTTTACCAAATTCATATTCTGTTCACTACCCTTTGGCAAGTATTGCTAGGAGTTTCTAGAGCTAGCAATGTTGTTACAGATAAAGATATCACGTGAGCATTTCAGTTGATGCTAATCTTGGCAACACTGGCGAAACCTGTCATCTTCTTACATTTTTCTGTTCTCTGTCAAATCCTGTCTTGTCACCCTTGTCATATCCGACCGGTCATAACCTCATTTTATAACACGTTTATAACCGACTGCGACTAAATTATTTCTTTGCTGCCAACCTGTGCCTTGTTCCTTGTATTGTTGTATACAATTCGTCATGGCGAACTCAAGGAGCAAACGAACCAATAAAGATCAAATGGAGATGATAATCAATTTTCTTGGGGAAAACCGGGTACTTGTCACACAAAAAATGCACCCGTTGAACACGGGTGACTGTGAACCTTTGTGGGATGAATTGACCGAGAAGTTGAACTCTGTGGAGAACGGTGCAAGAAAAGATAAGAAACAATGGAAAACTGTAAGTACCTAATCGTATTATCGAAATACTAAAGATAAAAAGATGTTCATTATTATCATAATATTCTTTTAGTTTCTGTACGAGTGGAAATCAAAAACTAAGAAGAAGGCCCGTATCCATAAGGCTTCCATCATGAAAACGGGAGGTGGTGGCTACACTTGTAAAGACCTGACAGATTTGGAAAACCGACTGTTGAATGTATTAGGGGGTTGGATTCATGTACTAGGATGCCCCAGTTTAACAAATATTGAGCCTGGACTACCTGCAGGACTTGAATTAATGGATCAAGATGTCACTGAGATACAAGAAGGTGCAATAGAGCAGCATGAAGCTGAAAGAGAAGAAGAAAATACCGATGAGATATCTACACCAATACCATCACAAACACCAAGACGTGGAACAGGTAGGTTGTTAGTATAATGCTAATATGGTATCGCTAAGGGGCATCCGCTCTTAAAATTCCAAGGGAATATCAACCTGTTTGTGTAATTTGGTAGCCTACTATTTGCAAAATGTTTTTTTTTATTGGTGCCTTAAAAATAAAGGAGCAAAGCATTCACATGTTAAGCTTGCACTAGTTTAGTTATTCCACTTGATGAAATTTAATTCATACAAAAAATATTTTGTTTCCTAACTTTCTTAGAAGTTAAGTTTGCTTGAACTATACAATTTTTTACAAAGATATGTTGTTTGAATAATCAACTGTCTCTCATTCAGGAGAGAATTATTTTCTGACAAGAAGTTACAAGTGATTCACTGACCAAAATATGATTTAAACAAATAACTTGATTATTTAGTTGATTTTTTATACCAAGCTATATATACATGTATGTTCTGACTGTTCTTATCAAGTGTATTGTTTTTGCAGCTCCAAGGAAGAAACAAAAGAGACCGCATGTACAGAGCACACAGCTGCACGAAGCAGCTGAACTTTATGCACAAAGCACCAGCGAAATGGCTGAAGCTGTGAAGGTGATGGCTGGTGCAATATCACAGTTAGTTCAAGGGCTATCTGATATAGCACTTGCTCTAAGCAACACATCAAAAACCTGATGTCATGTAATAAAAATGAAAATACTAAAATCTGCATTAAATATTTATTTTAGAGAACATTTTCTTACATAATTCACCTGATCGCAGTAGACAACTGATTTACAAGTTGCTGGCGAATAAACCTGCCCTCTGTGAGAAAATCATTACTTGGAATTGCAGCATCATCAGGATGGCTGCTGTCAGTAGTCTGATCAGTGTTGTCATGAGAGTCGCCATTATCTTCATACTCTTGTTCTGCATTATATATTCTGCAAATATTATGCAAAACAGCACAAGCATAAATTATCATGCCACTTGTATCATGAGAATAATGAAGAACCCTGTCTTTCCTTAAACATCTAAAACGGGCTTTCCAAATACCAAAGCCCCTTTCAACCACATTGCGTGTGTTGATATGTATACTGTTATAGTGAGCTTCGGGGGTATTAGCTCTTGTTTCGAGGATTGGTGTCATCAGCCACGGCTGGAGAGGATATCCTGAATCACCAAGTAGGTAGCAGTTTCGTCTTCCATCTTCATATTTTTGCTTAAGATGTCTCTGTATGTTTGAAGAGTCCCATATTGCTGCATCATGGACTGCTCCAGGATACTTCGCATTTACGTTAGTAATCATTAGGTGAGAGTCGAAAATCTGTAAAATATTGCGAATTTATGTTCTCAGTCAAGGCTTAACAAAAAATGAACTTACTGCCTGAACATTTACACTGTGGAACCCTTTTCTATTAATATATGCTACTGATGGATTAATAGGATCATCTGTTTTGGGTGGCACTATCGCAATATGTGTACAATCGATAACGCCTACAACATTTGGGAATTGATGATTCTCTAAAAATCTGAAAATTGAAAAACTCATGATATGATGTGGCCATTATGTAGAGAAAATACCTACATACCCGTCTTTGACTCTCCTAACTTCTTCTGAAGTTGTTGGAAACCTGATATATCGAGGTGACAAATGTAATGCAATTAGTCTGCTTATTTTGTTTATAAGTCTGCTCATTACAGGTTGGCTGATTCCGATATTAAAGTCGTGTCCTACGGTTGTTTGATAACCGCCATGGGCATAAAATAATAAACTTGAAAAGACCTGAAAATAATTTGTTGAAGATTCATAGAGAAAATAGATTCTATTTAGAATGAATTGTGAAACGTTACAAATTCATATTACATATCAGTTTGATTATACACATATATGAACTATTACTAATCATTATTATTATTATAGTAAAATGTTGATTATTTTGTTACCTGCAGATGAAAAGGTACTGTGTCTCTTCTGGTAGGTTCATCAACGTATCCTTGTAGCTGAGTAATTAGATCCGTTGCTGCTACTTTATTCAGACGAAACAATTTTTTGAACTTGTCTTCAGCAATTTCAAACGGATTACTTGCGTCTCTGATATTTCGGAAGTGCAAGCGTAAACTTCGACTGCAATGTTTGTTGGTCATGAAGTTACACAAATAAAAAACTGTATGTTAATCCTCTTACCTAACTAGAACGTTTTCAAATGTATGGCGAAAGTTTACATCAAAATTCACAAAAACCGGATTGACGGCCATTTTTCTGCAATAACAATGTTGTTACATTGATAGCAAGTACTTAAATACTATTTGCCGAGATAACAAGATCGAAAAACAAGAACTATTCAAAATGACAGATCATCTGGCTAAAATATATTGAACAGAATAGAACAATCGCAAACATTGTTAAATCATAGCAAGATCTCTTCATAATAACAAGTAACAATATTACTATAGCTAAACAGAATTGGCCTGAATGTCTATAGACGAATTGTATGGGCTATTTGATCAACTTGATCCGTTAAATTTCTCTATTGTACATGTTCGTAACTAATTTTTCCTCAGGGGGTCTATCTTGTGCTGAACATAATTCTTGATGAACTAATGGCGGCATTGCTTGAGAAGTGCAGAGTCAACTTGACGCCATTTTTTGTTAATACACGTAATTGTATAGCGCTCATGTATAAAATAAAGTTGAAGGCGTCATTATAGCAATATAGATTCTAAATAAAGATAATTGACATCTGAATCTCATGCATATTCTGACCCTATTAAGTTTTCCATGAAAAAAAAATCAAGATTGCAGCAATGAGTGTGTACGTACATGGTAGCTTTATTTCTTTGGAGATCTGATGTAAAATCATTTGTCGTTAATGTTTGTTAACTGGTTATAATAACCATATCATCGGTGATACTGTAATACCGCTTAACCAACAATGGCTTAAACCACGCATTTGAAAAAAAACAAAATTGCGATTTCGTAACATATAGGTTCTTGTCAGTGTTTTGGCTTCGTCTCGTGATGTCAGGTAAGTGCGTCATGACACACATTTATTAAGAATGATAGGATTATAAAATTTATTCAAGCAATTGAAACTTATCCTCTTCTATGGGATTCCAGTCAGCATGATTTTAAAAACACGACGCCGCTCAAGAGTTGGCTCAAAGTTTCAATTGTGACTCGACTGAGGTAATGAAGAAAATAGCGGATTCAAAATCTTCAGGTTCGGGGTTTTCAGATATATTATTTGTTATTTTCTTTTGTTTCAAGATGTAATGTTACTTTCTTTTGCAGTCGTGCTAACACAAATTTGATTTTGAAATCACCTGGAAGGGTTATGTGTTTGAATTATAATAGTATTTGTAAGTTTTGTGACATGTTTTTATGTTCTATTTCGGAATTAAAATGTGTTCTGCGGGAGCGCCTTAGATAGTTTTATAAGTTATGCTTTTTTAATATTTCTAATTTAAGATTTTGGCCTATAAATGGAATATTATCCGTTGGGCAATAAAAGCTATAAATAAGCCTTATTGAAACAGGGACACATTTTCTGTAGTTGGTGTCTTGCTTTGCAATATGACGACTAAGTGCATTGACCAGCAACTCAAAATCTTCACACGATATACGAGTAAAATTTCTAAATCCACTTAAGGGATCTACTTTTATTTCTTCTACAAATCTATTCGTTTCTTCATTCCATCGCTGCAGAAAAGGTCTCACCCAACATCGTGGTTTTCTTCTTCGTTTCTTTTTAAGCAGACTACCTATTAAAACACAAGCTGCGGCACAAAACACGACATATTCCCGCCCATCCATATTAAGACCTGAAGTTAGTGAGAACTTTGCTTGGTAAACATGTTCGTGCACAAGTGTGCTACACTGTACGCTTACAAAAGTTATGCACTGCTTTGCCGGTGGATACAGAAGATAAATTCGATAGCAGTGAGCACATTCAATGCTGGAGTTTCACACAAAATGTTTGTAAACAAATCAGAAACAAATGTGCTGAACTCTATTTTGGTGGAATCGTACCATTAGGCTCTGTGATGTAACATCTGCTTCAGAGATGGCATTATTTGAGGTCTAAGCTTTAAATTGTATACTACAGCTGAAACGAAACGGCAGTGCATAATGACTGTGTGCTAATGAATAATCTGTGTTGATGATAATTCCATTGGTTTCTTGTCTCAAATACACTTAATTGAGATGTATGCAATATGTATTCATACAGGTATATTTATGAAACGTAAAAAAGTGCAACATTTCTCATTAATTTTTATTTCTAGTCATTTAAATTTTATAGAAATTTATTTTACGATGTCAAGTAGAAAATTAGTACACATCAGCGACTAGATGTGAAGCAGTACTAAAATGCTTTGTATGTGATGCATCACTCCTAACTTTTCTGTGGTGTGGTTTAATTACACACTACGCAGGTGCGGTGCTGATTTCCCGTAATGCTTCTTATAGTTTTTGAAAACGCAAAAAATGGGAAAATCATAATGTATAACTTATAACATAACCTCTCTTCAGAAAGGACAACACAAATAACCTTTCTGGCCCAGCTAATAGATATATTTCATGGGCAACATATTCAGTAATAATTTTCTCACTCAGCAAGTATCATTGATTTTATACACATGCAGACCAATACACACAATCATCCAGATGTGATCTTGCTACTCTGCTAATCAACTACACATCTTCTCAGAGTATACTCTACAGACTATCTCGGCATTCTGCAACCAACAGAGCATGATAGGGAACAGACTTGCAGCATGGCCATTGAGCCTGTCGTGTCGTCATTCCTGTATACATCGACGATCTTAGCGAGCAAACGCGTATTGTACTATTTGCACACTATGAACTATCCTAGGCAGCAAGTTGACATTTTATCGTTTTTTGTTACGTAATAGCCCTGCCGACCTCATATATCTCGGTGCATGTCGCCTGCTCCAATGAGTAACTGACATCGACTATTGCAAGGTGCTAAGCTTCACGTGTATGAATGGATGCATATTATATCGGTAGTACTATAGATATCAGAAGCTTCTTAAAAATGGAACAACTTTCACAGATACCTAAGATGCAATACGAGTATTGACGATGCCCATCAACTGCAATCCACGATTTTCAACAACTCAGTAAAAATTTCTGATAATGATCAGGAGCCTCTGAATCGTCAAAAAATAAAGTTAGAGTGACCGCGGTACTTTTCAAGTTATAGCGGAAACTAGGGACAAGCGAACAGACCAGACAGGCAGACTGATTGACGGAAATGTGTGTCATGGTTTTTCGTAATTTACATGTCATGTAACATTTGAAAAACAATATTTCTGATTTTTGAAATGTTTGCCTGTGAAGTAAAAGAAATAAAGAATGATGTACGATTTGAAAAATTCCTCGCCAGCTTGCGATCATGTGTGCTCTCAAAAGTACTAACAGAGAAAAACGCTTTTTGGAGTATCAAAAGACATGATATGAGATCCCGCTATATAAGGTGGACCCGGGCTATATAAGATGCAGGTATGCTGCTGCAAATTGAGCCAAGTAATAGATTGTGGCATTTAGCAAGAAAAGACAAACCTTACTCGTCGGTAAAAACTCATTAAGGTTCATATTGTTCCTCCGAGTCCTGCTTTATGATGCTACCAATTTAAAATTCTGCATGAACCTTCTGTTTTATATTCCAATGTGCTCAGTTGCAACCTTTCCTTGCGGTAACATCTGATCAATGATGGAAGAATCAAAGACTATATTACATAAATTATATTACAGTTTATTGATATTATTTTCGATAAAGCTATATGACACAAATGTTACAATATGAAAGTACAAAGGGTTAACAATTAAAGAATCAGCCAATCAAAAATAATATATACAAAACAGATTAAAAATCATGAAGTTGTAATGCAGTATTACCAGTATCTATTTAGCAGTTGTTAGATAAAATACACCAGATGTGCTAAAACCATCACAGTCGCGAATATGTTTGAATCAGCATATCTGTATGTTGCAAAAAAACTACATAAATAATTTTTTATCACAGAACTAAGCTGTCTTTTATTTTAACGCAAAAATCTATATAATAAGCAGACAAACTGCATGAAGTATATTGGCCTAGAATAAATTTTTATACATAGAAATATACAAATTCAGAACCTGAAATTATTGGTATTAGCTATTTGGCAGTAATTTATCCTAAAAAGTATGTAGATCATGTATATGACAGCCATTTCATTAGAGTTACATCACTTTTGTTTATCAGCATCATGAATGTATATAAAATGTTTACAGTGAATGGTTAGGCAGTCTAATGAAAATTTTAAGTGAAATAACATGATGCTTATCTGCACATTAATTTGTTGAGCTTATGTAATCTGAATGTGATGAAATCATAAAAAATACATAACTGCTTAAAGAAAATAAGCTCTTTAAAAAAACTAAAGATTATAAAATGTGTAGATTAAAAAATGGGAAAACAAGATATTCCTTTTTTTCATGACAATATGGTATGGTACCAAGCTATCTATTCAAATACTAAAAACTTTTTATCATATCATAGCTCAATTTAATATCTCAGTTTTCTTTTGCTAGAAGAATATTTCTTTGCTCAATTTCACATAAAACTGGCTCAACCATACACATATCTAATCAACTGAGGCTACTATTCTTTGCAGTATGTATTTATGTTTTATATTATGCATATAGTTATCTCAGATCATTTATGATTGCTAATTAAATTTGCTGAGCTGTAGCAAAAGCACTATTAGAAGATTGAGGTAATGTTGCTCCTTGGTTCATTCTATCAATATCTTCATAAGTTTCTGAGCGGCCTGAGAGAATACCTGTTAGTACACCTGCAAATTTAATTTATCAAAATGATAAAAAAAGATTGTTCATAGTATGTCAAGAGTGTAGGATTTACCAACTCTATCCTAGATAGACTCGTGTATTTAACAAAGTGACAATTTTTTCCAGCTGCTTAGAAACATTGTTAGATTTATTGCTATAATAATAGATGGTTTGATTATTAACTGGATCAGTTAAATTGATTTTCTCTAACAATCCAATGTATGGTTGTAATGTTCCAATGTCTAAGTACCTTGAATCATGCAATCTCACCTGTTGACCCACTGCGTTCCTCTAAATTTTTGATCAGTAATATTGTACTCATAGGACGCACAAGTAAGTGTAATATTGCCATTGCTGAAGAAAATCTCTCCCTTGCACCTACAAAGAATTAATTATTTAGTAGCTTGATAATCATATATGTATAAAATCACTTACTATAGCTTTCAGGAAAACCCATAACAAGTAGAAGGATATCCAATATTATTGAGGTGCCATTTACCACAATTGCCTGAAAAAAACTTAACATTTATATTTGAATATTCAGCAATATTAAGTTACTGTTGTTATTAATGACAAAATTATAATCAAAAAAGATATATTTAAAGCGGAATGAAATATGATAAATTAATTAGAGTATAAATTGAATTACTTGTACAGTTTGGACTGTTACAGAGTTCTGATTTTAATGTGATGCATATAGGCCTAGGATTCAGATTTGTTAAAGATGCCATGGTAAAGCAACTTACCAGTTGAACAGGTTCATGACTTTGTTCCTGGTGTATACTCCAAATAAGAAGGAAAATCAGTATAGAATTATAAAACAAATAAGATGTAGAACTCCAGAATCCCATAGAAGCTACAGACATGAATGCAAAATGGACCAGAAAAATCACCTAGAACAAAATAACATTAGACAGAATATTCTTACCCTTACAATATTTTACCTTCAAATTAAGGTTTCTAATTTGCAATAATTCCGGCATATTTATTTATTGTTCTAGTAAAATAAAAAAAATTGAAGACCAAACACAAAACCCCCACTTTATTTTTATTGTGACATATCATATGACACTTGAGAGCAAACATATGACTGTCAAGTTATTAAACTGGCCATTCTTTTCTTTTGGCATTCTTACCCGAGACACTGATTGTGCTTGCGATTCTGTAAAGGCAACTTTCCATCTTCCACCATATTTAGTCAGATTGACCACTTGAGCCGTTTCATGATAGTCCAAAACCTGACTAACCAATCGTTTGATAGCAATCGGACTAAAAATTAGGAATCTATTCTCAAAGTTTGTATTTACCAAATCGCAACTCTGATTAATGCGTCCAGCAACATTGTCAAAAAAAGGAACGACGTTTGTGGGTGCCTTAACGATTATGCCTTGCGCGTGTAAATTGCAGCATGGGGCGCCATGTGCGTAGAAGTAGGGAGGCGCTGGACGTATCAGTGTACCCAACGAATGCCCGAAATTCTAGAAGATTGGCTTTTATGTGCCGCGATATTCCATTTTTGTTTTTTTTTACTTTTCTAAATATGTCGTGGAACCTTGTGTTTTTTGTTTATTTCCAGTATATCAGGTATTCAACCTACAGTATATACAAAGGGTATTCCTTTTAAGGCGTTGGGTGCAATGCTCTGGTGACAGGAATATCTGCTAGATCTCACGACAGGTTCAAAATCATAATAAAAGCATTGTACACTTACATGGCGTGTTCAGTTGGACCCTTGGATGTTGCCAGTGGTATCCAGTCCGTACCGTGATCGCATAGCGCAGACGAGGGTGATTCCCACGCATTGTTTCTTGGCGTATCGGCGATCGGCCGGCGACGATCTTTGCATCGGAATCATCCCTTGTAGAAGGGAGAACCGAGGCGCAAACCAGTGAATTAAGCTGGCAACGGACGGTGAGCGATGATATATTATATCCTGCATATTACAGAAATATCGCTCCATGTGTAAACCTATTGAGACGCCACGCACGAACGCTATAAGATATATTTACATCCCAGCGATATATTACGTATCTGGCGGGATATGCTTACCGAGCGATATTCTGTGCTGTATAGCGCTATAGCTGTTCCCCTCTTGCGTCGCGTCACCGTAAATGCCTACGCACCGCTCTTGCTGGCAGCCGGCTTGGCGCGATGTTGCTATTTTATTTTTGTTTTTGCACTTCGGAATTCGCAATAGACAAAATGGAGTATTTTATTGATAGTGTAAGAAAACATCCATCTTTATGGAAGGTAGACTCGAACGAGTATGAAAATAATATGAGATTAGAGAAGCAGCTTGGAGGAGTATCATCGCTGATTGAGATATATCCGACGGTATGAACTTGTAAATATTTGTTTTCATATACATAGGTAGTTTGAAAGCTAATAGTAGGGAAGCCCAAGAGGGGATTTTAGGATTTACTCAAGAGCGGCAGATTAACATATGGGGGATACCTTGTTAATTAAATACACGGTGTACACCACAGATCAGCCTACGCACAGAAATGCTGAAAAATCGGTAGGTTCGGCAACACTGCTAGAAAGATATGAAAATATATATTCTGTAGTCCGTTGCAGTCATAATATAATATTATAGCGTATTGTACGACTATAATATATATTATATTATCGCCCACCGTCCGTTGCCAGCCTAATGGTATATAGGCCAGTCGAACCAGATCTTCCTGATTTTCCAGACAGTACCTGAAAGCCAATACTTGCTTCATATTGCAAAATTTACCAAAATGCTTACGTAAGCATGGCAGATTGGGGAGGGGAGGCTAAGAGTTTTGCTGACAATGAGAGGAGGGGGGTTAATATTTGTATAGAAATCTGCTTACTTAATACTTGAACGGCTCCTTACAGACAGGCAGAAGCAACACTTCTTGGACTTGGACCGACCATGGGAGAACAAAAATGAGTTGCAGAAATGTTGCATCATTCAGTTAAGAAGAAACATTGCGCAGCGAAAAGTAGTATTTTAGCATTTCAATCGTATACTTTAGAAATTGTATGTAAAGTAATGCCAACGATATGTTTCACTGACCAAACACGAAAACCAACGACGAGACAAAAAAGGATATTTGTGACATACAAAAAGTCCGCACTGCTCATCGGATAATCCCATCTGTTTTTCATACCTCCTCCTCCTCCTCGCAGTAGCCTCACGTACCCTGCCATATAAAATAAATGGTGTATTTAAATTGTCTATCCTATAAAGTAGATTCTTCACGATGTTGTGGCACGGTGTGGTAGATCTAATTTTAATAACAGCACCGAAGTTTTAGGCTGTTAAGTACTCTAGCTTCTCGTAGAGGACTCAATGTCAACCATATTTTCCTTAGATACGATAAGGCTGGCTAGATTTTTCAGGAATAAGTCCTTCCTGTCCATATCTTCCTGATTAATATCCTCGACAGCCGCATCAGGTCCGTACTGTATATCTGGACCACCAGAGGACTGCTTCTTTGTCCGTTTCCTACGAACCTGCCTGCTCCTCTTTTGAGACAGACTTTAGCAGTGACACTGTTTACTGACAAGCTTTTCCTTTGCAAAACGTCAAAATGCCACCCCGGACCCCTCGAATGCGTAACGGTCGCTGAAAATGCTCTAGCAGTATATGATGAGCATTTGGCAAAGTTTACCCGTTTGCTCCGGTGCACTTCGCAACTATAGACATATACCTGGAGTTTGAAAGTCATGTCGATTTAGGAGGTTTCTCTTGATGCAGTACTTCTATCTTGCAAATAGAGCAGTACAATATATGTATAAAGTGTTAAAATTAAAAACCGGAAGTCGTAACGTATTTCACCTATAATCGTCAAACTGTCCCGTTGACTATTTGGTAACCATTGAAATTACATAACGTGAGAACATGGTGTGAACTACCTGAGTGCTGGTGTGAATACAAAACTCAGTTTTAAACCTTAGATCTAGTGTCCTAATGGCTCATGGGTTGAATGTCAATGCATGCAATTTTTTGTACAGAAATGTGTTAAGTCGATTCAATACCTTCCTGAATGTATTAGCATAGTTTTAAAACGTAAGCTGTATATTGATAGTAAAATATTTTCGATTAGAAAATGCGTTTGAAAAGTCGATCGATCGAGCATGATCAGAAACGCGAAGTGTTCGACATTTTTCGTATTTCTCTTATTTTGATTAAGAGGGATTTTGTTATTAAAAAACGGTCAATGAAATTTGAGTGCAAAATATCAATATTTACGTCGATGGAAAGTATTTTAAAATCAAGGATCGATGCGAGGCTAGAAAACGTACCTGTACGCGAGACTAGACCGCGTGACGTCAGTAGCCAGACACGTGCTGTCGCCCTCATAGAGTACTTGTATCTTGTATTGTCTTGTATACGGAGTGAAGAGTATGAGTATACGAATACGAATTTATATAAACTGGGACCGACGTTTCTGTACTTTATTTATTTGTGCTAGCACAATGCTCCAAGGTTACCTATCAGAAAGCTGATTCGCGAAATTTACCCCATGTGAATGTGGAAATGGGGTACGAGTTTTTGGCAAATAATGCAAATTTAAATGAACTTTAGAGCAGCGGTGTTAAAGTAGTTCGGTAAGTACCTAATTTTTTTTTGTTTAGCTCCAATGGGTAGTATTTTTTGTATTTCTCTGCTTTGCTTTAGTCTATTGAAAGCTAATAATATTAAGACATAATAATGCCTTCTCGTGACAATAATTCTGAAGGCTATTTATCTCTGCTTTAAAATATTATCTAATTTAAATTATTATACATACCTTTTCACCTTGTTACGCCTATTAAGAGCCTCGAATTTGGTTATTTTTGCATGCATAATGAGGCTTTATTACACTATTCTGAAGTAAAGTATGGTACCTAATATGTTCTCAATGAGAGAAATTCCAGGGATGTAGAGAGAATCTTATTTTTTAGGGTCTATTGGGGAATACTTAAATTAGGGGGGGGGGGGCAGTCACATTATAGAATTTTATAACTACGAAATTAACAAAGTTTAGGGCTGCATTGGGGGAAGGGCAATGACGCCAGGTTCTAAAGGTTGACTAATACATATTGCGCTTAGAATGACTACGAGCTCGGCAGTAAGCTGGTAAGCTTCGCTGTCACTAGTTTCAGTACTGCATTCACTGGCTTCATACGAATCAGATTCGGATGTTACTGTTATTGCGGGACTTTCAAGATTTGCCTGTTCACTTTCCACTTGCAAACGTTTTTTTGGCCGCTCTGAAATCTGTTTAGCAAGCGCAGGAATTCTAATTGGCGATACAGCAACATCCATTACTTTCCGTTTTTACGAGATTTGAACTGTCTTGCTTCTAAAATGTACCTGTTTGGTTTGGCATGCCTTGTCACATACCTGTGACTAAACTTACGGTTGAAGGTCCCGCCCGGCGTGCCGCCGCTGGATGCAAATATTTGGCCATGTCTTTCTGCCTTGCAATTTTTTCGCTGAACACTCGTTTCGTAGAGCTTTATTGTCTACCCAGTTGACATGCAAATTTATGAGGTGCAATATTAGGATTCATTTGGGGTCGAACGGTACTCATCTTGTATTGTAGATAGTTTTCCATATGTTCGCAGCAGTACATGGTCGACGTGGAAGAAACTGATTTTACATCCCGTCGAGCTGCGTAAAACCACTTTTTACGTTGTGCGGCAGCTTTTGGAACACTCACAATTTTTTTTTGTGGTGTTGTAATTGACGTACTTGTACATTTTATCACAAAACACCATTTTCTGTAACACCACTTTCTGTTCGACATTTAACACCGTCAAAGTTTACAGAATTCAACAATAATTCTATCGAACCAGCTCTAACTACTACTTGTTGTGAGAATGGTGAATGCAGCGGGCCAGCTAGCGAGGTGTGTCTGGCTATTGACGTCATGCGGTCTAGTCTCGCGCACAGTTACGTTTTCCAGCCTCGCGCCGATCCTTGATTTTGAAATGCTTTTAGTCTACGTAAATATCAATATTTTTACTTAATTTTTTTATCGTTTTTTAATAACAAAATCTCTCGATTTGAGTAAAAATCAAAAAATGGCGAACCTTCCTATTATGCTAGTCTAGTTTTTCAACCCGTAGGGCACTTTACATGGTGTATATACAAAAAATCATAATTTTCCAAAATTGAGTTGGGTCCAGGATTTTTTTCCGATAAATTGTTGTTATTTATTATATTCTAATGACCCACCAAGCGGAAGGCAAGTAGTACATATTTTCATGATAAAACATAGGATATCATTCACTGTACATATATACAGCGTGTAAAGTGCATTAGTAGCTAAAAAACCGCATACGAAAACTTGCTTTGTGAGCTGCTAGAGTGCCCCCCTGCTGCCTTTTTATCGTTTTTGATCACACACGATAGATCGGTTCTTCAACCAGTTGCTAGAAAGTACTTGAAGAACTGATAGATCGTGTGTGATCGAAAACGTTTTTTTTCTTGCTCTTCAAATATAATTGACCATCACATAAGGTGGTAAACCAATCCTGGGGCCCTGACTCTGTTTACTAAAAAACGCTTCCCCCCCCAACTCAAAAAAAGGTTACTACTCCTGAAGGCGCATTATACCCCTGACCATAGATCCTCTTACTACATCTATAAAATGTAACTTTATGAGATGACCTCTGTTTCTTTCACACCCATTGTACATTTCCTCCAATGATTGCACACTTTACGTTACTACGAAAAAATATGGCCCAAATTGACAATCCTCCTGGCATCAATTCTGTCAGCAATGCTTAGATAATTTTGGTCCCTTACTTATTCAAAAGCATAATCCTTATCGTAAGACACTGTATTGCACGAGGTTTTGCCAACTGGACAAACCTCAGATAATTCATTGCTGTTGTCAAGAAAAGGCGATGCAGATAGTACATCAACATCATTTTTTGACAACAACCTGTATAAAAAAGCAAGATGTAGAGGTCAAAACCCGAAGGCAATGCTGGAGACGAGCTGAAAAATGATTATGACTCTTGTGCTTTGCCCAGTATGTGAACTGGGGAAAATGGGAACTTCTATGGGAAATGTTTGATCCAATCTTTTGTGTGACAATAGCGCAGGTTTTTGGCCTAGCATACATCGAATAACTCAATTTAAAAGCTTCAACGAGCCATTGTGAAACCAGTTTATGTGCTCCAGCTTGAAAAAACTAACCATTTCATCTAAACTGTACTACCAACTATTACAGTCAATACTCGAATTTGTGGAATTATGTACAACGGATCTCAAAGAAACACTTACCCTGCTAGCAAAGCCGCGGTGGGCGGGGCCAGCGGCAGGAGAGTTTCTCTCAAAATTTACACCAAATAGCAACGATAGCTCGAAAGCTGTGTGAGCAAAAAAGCTGTTTTTTCCAGCAATGGTTTGTACTGCTCTTTTTCTAGGTCTTGAGTCAGTTTCTTTTTGAAAACACAGTTTGCTTTTTCGGAAAAAACAAAAGTTTAAAAAAAAATGTCAAGAAAAAAGTAATATCTCAAGGTAATCTACTATAAATGTGGAATATTGTCATACAAGTTCAGAGCTACACTGTTATTCGTTCACAAACTACGATTGCAGAAAAAATGAAAATAATTACTAATATTGCTTATCAATGATCTCTTTATACAGCATGAAGTTATCAGACAAAAATAATTAAAAATACTCCAAACAGGCTATTGAATAAAAGGGACCTACGATCTTAATGACGTGCTAATATTCTACGATATGATTCGTCGGATAATTTTATATAAGCATGTCCGCAGTGAATTTTTTAGTACAGGGTTTTGTGTTTTTAATAAAAACGTTTTATTTTTTATCGCGTAAAGTACTATAAATATTATTTTTCATTTTAGCATATTATAAGAGGATATAAAATTACATATCTTAGTATAAACAATTATTCTATTGATCTACTAGCGGCGTCTCTGCAAACATGTCTTGTGTGACCTTTTATTTGAGGAAGCATATCCTGGATTATCAGCATGAGAGTAGGTAGGTATCTCATCATTAAATTGAACACACTGTATATTTGTTAGCTCTCCCAACCTTCATCTTTATTATCAATGTCTTTTATGTACATATTTACATAATTTTTGGTGTTATATGTGATTGTGGGTGATTGAAACTACTATTTAGTACCTATATTTGAATTGTGTTTTACTCTAATCAGATAAATTTCCTGACAGTTAAATATACTTTTTGACGACATATTTGAGTCATTTTGCAAAAATTGCTCTTTTCTACTAGAATTAGTGTAGTATTTAAATAACAGAATATTGCTCCAATTCCTACATTTACCTTACAATTGTCTGTGGTTGCCACTACTCAATAAAACATTTCTATGACTTAACACCAAAACCTTTTTTATTTTATTATCATATATGTATAATACAAAAATAATAACAAAAATAAAATACACGTTGCAAATACACACTGTTTAATTACGGCGTTGCATCAAATCCAGTATGAGACCTCATTTTCACAAATCAGTTAAGTATTCGGCTTGCGCCTGGAATCACGAGAAAGTCCCGTCTCTTCCAAACCTCAAAAAGTCGTCGTTCCTCTTGATTGCTTCCTGCATAGTTCTTCGTTTTCTTCGGTCTTTTTCCATCTCAGAAAACCCCCTTCCTGGAAATAAGATTATTGAATCTTATTTATACAATTGTTAAAAAGTCGTAGTTACTACTACGCGATGACAAATTCCTTCAACTCACACTAACGACTGACACCCATCGAACTCAAAAACACAGAGATGCGGTGTTATTTTGTCAGTGAGATCCCTCCCTTTGTTTACATCGATTGTCGATGTTGAAATAGCAATACGCGCTCACAGAAAGACGGAAACAATTGTTATTTTCTTCATTTGTTTTTCAATTCCCAAATGATGAATAAATATTTCTTAATTTCTGTTTTAGTTAAAATATTGGTAGTGTTCCTTGTAGAAGAGTTAAAAACATTGACAGTTTGCCTTACTAGGGCTACGAACATGTAGGAATCACGAAAATACTTATTCTTTGTTTTTAGTTGAAGAGGAGTATACATGAATGTCCTTGAAGTTGGGACTTTTCTTTACAGGTAGTATAGATCTTGGAAGAATAAGCCGTTTTTTCTAGTAACATATACACCAAAGTATTAAGATTACCGAGATGTTAGGCTCCACAAAATCAATCATACCTAATCCGGTCCTGCACCTCAATCAGATGAAACATGAACACGTACGATTCGTATCAGTACTCAATCCAGGCGCTAGCTGCGTTTGTAAATAAAACATGGATTCTAAAAACCGAAAATGGCACACTCATACAGCAATATCGGAGTTGTCCCTTTTGTTTTAATTTACGGCGAGTGTATTCGAAATGCTACCAAAGCTTAATCGCGAAAGCATCCAGATCGTTTTTAAAGATCGTTGGTGTTTTTTTTTGTTTGTTTGGTGCGAAATGAAATGTTTAGTATGTTTAGTATATAAAACTGAGCTAAACATGGTTGACGAAGTACGTGTGCGAGTTTAGCAATCTGCTGCATTCATTCTATGCTAAACGCTGATGCTTGATAAGATTCGAAGCTTGGCTATGTTGAGCACGCGTCTCTGAATCTATTGCAGACAACTTACAGGTGACAGAGCTGTACTTGAAATTTCTTTTCGATAAACCGTGAGTATTTTTTCATTATTTTTTTCTTACTTTTCCGGTGTTGTTTAACCACACATTAGCTTTGTTATTATTATTACAAACGTAGTTGTTCCTGAAAAGGAATGTCCCAACTTTCAGGACACCCTGTATATTGTGCCGGTTTATAAATTGTACTACCTCAATAATTACTGAATTGTCGATTTTTAACGCCATCTGGAACATTGTGGCCCTATAAGCAATTGACCCATAAGAAGTCCATTTTGGTCGGTTTAATTTCATTATAAAAGTTATTAACTTATTGGATATTAATTCTCATTAAAATTGCTTTTTAAATATTTTCATAAATACATTTGTAGTTTTTAAGTAATTTTCGTTGGGTATTTTTTGGGAGAATACATTATTGTAAGTATTCAATGCTTCAATATAAGCAGATATTTTGATCACAACATTAATTTTAAGTTGATCGACTGATTTACTTTATTCGCCATTTACGGAGCCTTATTCTTTGCAAGAGGGCCGTTTAAATAACACGTCAGCATATTTTTTACAATTATTAACCCCCTCTCCCCCTTGTCAGCAAAAGTAAGTAAATCTTTTACGTAAACATTTTGGTACATTTTACAATTTGAAGCAAGTATTGGCTTTCACGCACATGGTGCGCCTTTGTTGTCATCGGTCGTTGACGTTGAAATTGAAATACGTGCTCACAAAAAGAACAGACGTTTTCAAGTAAATAAACGATTTTTATATATTCGTTGAGTATTTTTTTTAACACATTATTGTAAATATTCAATGCTTCAGTTTAATGCATGACATTTTTATGTAGTGCAAGATATGCAGATATTTTGATCACAACGTTAATTTTAATTTAAGCTACTGATTATTATATACGTCTATTATGGAGCCTTGCTCTTTGAAAGGCCATTATAATTAAAGCGTTTTTCAATGTGAAGTTTATCCTAAAGCGGTAGTTAACATCAACCAGAGGGCCATGTATGGAATAGGAATAAAACTGTATTCCGTGCAACAATAATAACTAATAGTTAACCCTTCCGTTAGGTTATTTTTGCCAACAACAACAGATAATGAATGTCGAGGAAAAAAATGTTTATGACCACTATGGCCCGAAATTCAATCGCAAGTTAACTACTAACCAGAAGTTGCCTCTCAGAGAGCGTTTTTCAATATCAAGTTTCTCCTTAAGTGACACTTTACTTCAACCAGATGACCGTGTATGGGATAACTATAAAGTTGTGGTCAAACCGCAATGTCTAATCTAATGTGCTTGACAATGACACAAGTTGTCATGGATGACGACACAAATACCGAACATCACGAAACGTATAGAACTTGATAATTCAGGCCTAAAAGCAGCGTTGCTGCATCAACCGGCTTATATATTGTTAATCAGAACTTGAAAAACGAATTCACAGGCAACTGATAGTCAACTTCCAAGTGATAATTAAAACTTAAAAGTTAACCAGCGATTGAAAAACCGAGCCTAAAGCGAACCCTGGTAATTTGACAGTACTGACTACTGACATTCATGACAGGCTGATTAATTTTTTTCTTTTTTGACCGGAGCTATCCCGAAATTTCAAAACCCTTTAGTTCTTTTTTCATTGGAAAGCTTCGGCAATATTTGTATCTAAACCGGGCAAAAAATAGTATGTTTAGAATCACAGAACCACAGAAGGACAAGTAACCACAAAATCAGCAGAATTTCAATAAAACTCTTGTCACATCACATATACTTGAGGTTCAAATTTGGCTGACGTCGTATTGTGTACGAGGGAGAAGCGCGAGAAGCGTGCAATATGTATGTTAGAAAGAGTGCTCCGATGGCATCCGTGACCTCGTACTAGGGTTGCTAGGCAACGAGGTGCTTCTATCTCTTTCCAACACACGTATTGCACGCTTCTCGCGTCTCTCTCTCGTACACATTACGACTTCAGTGGTATTTGGTTTTCAGTGTGTAACAAAAATTGGGATAATTCAATTTATTTATAACACTGCCTATTTCTTGCATTTATTTTTACCTGTGATCTAAAACTTATGTTTCTATTATATTTTAATGAATATGTTATTATAACTTAAATTTACTTTAATTAAGTTTATCCATCTTCGTAAATTACAGCCACTGTGCTGAATAAGGAAAATATAGCCTCACGAAATAAGCCCTATTCTCCGTAACTAACGGTGCTTTCGTATTTCGATAACGAATAAAGGATGATTTTCTCTCGCTAGAGCACTAAATTTATCTGATATTTAACCTAATGTTCTTGACAGTGACTTACCTAAGTTGTAAAGTATGACACAAGACTTAAATACCGAACATAACGAAACGCATAGAACACGACAATTCAGTCATAAAGGCAGTATTGTCGCATCAACGGTTTATGGATTGTTAACCAGAACTTGAAAACGGATTCATTGAAAGTTAACTTTCAAGTCATAGTTACCTGACGAGTACTTAGGTACCTTCAGGTGAGATTCCTTAATCAAAGCGTGGAGATGACCTATTAAAAAGCATTAGGGTGTTACCAAAAAGGATTGAAGATCCTAGCGCGATCTATGAGACAGTATCCCAACCAAACACTCGAACTCCTGTTAAAGCGTGATTCTAAATATATTCTTGTGTCCTGCTACTTTCCCACAGATGGTGCTAGGATCTCCAATCCCTTGGTCGGCTCAGTTGATCAATGCTACACACTATTATGAAATAAAGTGTCGATAGACTTACCTAACCTCATGAAATTTTCCTTATCCCTCACAGCTCGAGCTTGGTTTCTTCCAAACCTCAGATGCTGCGTATTATCTCTACCAAACCTCATATAATTACCATTTCTCTCTCTTTTGTCCACGCTGTCTGCTGCTTCATCTTCGAACCCAAAGTCTGAGTCTTTATACCTGCGAAACAATGTATATGAAACTACATACAAATATATCTTACAAGTCAACAGTTTATAGTTATTTTATGGTCAAAGCGCAGATAGTCCTTAGACTAGTGAAGACGCGGAGAGGCGTCAGGTCAAAGTTGGACATATTCATGAGCTTCCAATGGATTGTTCAAACCTAAATAATATACCTTGTTAAAACTAAAGGTCGACCGATATAAGATTTTAACCGATACCGATGTATCGCTTCATGATTTTGCGTAGGGGCCATGCTAATCTTCTCCATATCGTTCCATTTTTAGTATATGAACCGCCGAAGCGAGTACCCAATACCGATATATCAGAGGCCGATACATCGAGGTTGGTGTCTTTCCTTATACATACATTCTGGTAAATTTTGGTTCAGGTGGGTACATGGCCTGGAAACAAGTCTAGTGGCTACGCATATAATATATAATTGACAAACAGGCTTGTATAAGCTTTTTGTACAATTCACATGAAGGAATCGACGATACAATTCGACATGAACAGTGACATTTCAAAGAATAATGAATACTCGCTTTTGCTGCTTTCACTTTGTTTACCAAAATAAAAGACAAAAAAGACGCAACATCTAGTGTAAACAGCTACAGGTTCAATATACAAAAGTCGATTTGCAAAACACTGCAGTTTTATTATTTATTTAGCGAATGGAGGCGCCATTGTACTTGTAAAGATTAGGCAAATATGAAATCTATTGCACAAAATTGCAAATTAGTTAATATAATAACTATAAACAGATTAAATTAAATTACATCCTATTTATAACATAGATGTCGAGACATTGAGTGAAATCGTTCATGAGACTTTTCTAGCAATTCCTGCTTCCAGATATTTAATAAATCAAAACTATTGCCATACAGGTATTTTGAACTTCTAAGAGGAGGTTTCCTAGAACGTAGTCTGTTGATTTCTAGTCTGCCGTGACTATAACACAAGTGCACCTGCGCAAGCCCGACAGGGCAGAACTTGACTTATTTTGTCATGCAGATTTTTTCATACACTTCTTCATAAATGCAAATCCATTAATAACGTTTACTTGATCTGTTCCTGTTACTGATTCAGAGACTAACGAAATCGACAGTGTAAAAACAGATTTCTTTGAGGAGAATAGCGGATATGTCAACTTATTTCTAAATATTACACAGACGAACGAAATTATTATTAAACTATTCAGATAAAGCTGAAGACTGAAAATGGCTGTAAGCTTTCGTTTTATTATACGTGTAACAAAAAGAGATTCCTTCAATACAATTAAATTCATTGATTTTAAATGTTATGAGCCTCATTTACCTACATATATCGGTCGACCTACCAACATACGAGCACTCATATCGGCAAAATAGGCCGATAATAGAGATTTTTTAGTGCAACAAAAATAACGAATCGTTAAGCTGCCCGCTACGTTATTTTTGACAGCGCTGGCAAATACTGGTGAATTAAGCTCACGGTCTAATAATTTTTTTCTTATATAATACAGTGTGATCAAAGGGACCTGCAACTTAAAGGCTGGATCTGCCCTCAATCCTCTCCATAACTATTTTCTTGATACGCCAGTCATAGCAAATAAAGACGGAGTGAATCGTGGTAATTTGATAGTGACTACTGACAACCAGACAGGTTGCTTATTTCTTATTGATGCTTGCGCTATCCCCGAAATGGTAGATCCTTGTAAAATGTTTTTATTGGACAATTTCGTTAATATTTGTGATACGATTGCTCCAAAACGGTCAAGAAACGAGTAGCTTGAAAGTCATAGAATCTCAGAATGAGGAGTGACAACAATATCAGCAGAACTAGGATAAAAAGATACCTTGCCAAATTGCATATCAAACAAAATTCAGAAAAATTTAATCCGTTTAGAACTCCGCCTATTTCTTGCAGTTGTTTTTATCTGTGATCTAAAGTTTTTCTATTATATTTAAACCATTATGCGTTTATAACTTGAAATTAATAAGTTAATAAAACTTCTCCAGCTTTATGAATTCCGACAACAGCGCCGAAGAAACAAAAATTACCTTACGATATAATCTCTCCCTCATTAGGGAGTTATTGAAATACGGACATCCACTATTACTGTCGACCTTACACTAATAATGACAAGTAGAGACTGATCTTAAAATTGTTTCAGAATTAGAGTTATTGGGTGCATTTCCGTGCACAGTTTCTAACCTATAAATATTGGGATAAAATAAACTTTATCTTATTTAAAGGTGTTCCAATAATCTTATGAATTATAGAGTTTTGCTATTGTTTTTGTACTTCGTGCTTTGCAACTAGTTGGAGGTGAATATAAGTCATTTTGGTTAGAATTTTATGGCCAAAGGGTCCATGATTTTCACCAATTAAACTTACAATCAGCGAACAGTACAAAATAATAGCGAGAAAATGGCAAAGGAAACTACTTTCCGTATATAATTTCTTTTATCTGCGAAAACTAATATAAAAAGTGAGGTTATTCTTCGCACAAAAAGGACGAAAATAGTCTTGGCTGTGCAATGATTTTAAGCATCCTGTAATAGTTGCAGGTTGCAGGCACTAAGTTTATTAATTCCAAGTCTTATTTTTGTTTTACTGCGCCTGCTCAGATGTCAAATCCGGCCAGGAATTATTAGTACCAGGCTTTGTTGCACGTTCAATAACTCCCTATTATCTGTAAGTAACGAAGCTTCTTACGTCCATAACGGTGAGCGAAGGAAAGTCTCCTTACTGCGCAACCTCAGAATAACGAAAATCATAACGGAACATCAAAATAAGAGTACTAAAGAGGTTCTATTGCTTATATACATATCGGTATGAGAAGATCCCTGGTTAAAACAACGATAAGAATACTATATAAAAAATGTTGAAGAATTTACCAGTCTCTACTCCTATCATATTTCATCAGCAGCCCTCCTAATTTGGAACCCGGTTCATCATTCGGGTTGAAGTAGCGCACTGGGTATTGCGGATTATCCGTTTCATCGTAATTGAAGATGTTGTCCTTGCTATGTGCAGCTAGCGATGATTGTAGTAATAAGATTGCCAGCAGTGATTGGAAGAACATTTGTAAAGCTGGAAAAGATTAAGTTGCTATATTCTGCAATAATACTATTCACCGTAACAAAATTGAGATTACTATTTCTAGACTCTTGCCGAAAGAGAAACAGTCTGTCTCTGCATTTACCTCGCAGCGCTGTCATCAGTTCATAAAGGATTGCTTGGCAGTGAAACAGGCCTAACCAATGACTCCATAGTTTCCACCCTTTTGAAATAATTGCGTACTAGAAATTTCTCAGAAGTCAGTCAAGAAATCACTTTTTTAAGATAACGCATTTTATAATGCAGACATGCACTAATTAAGCTATTTTTATTTCACTCAGGTTATTTAAACCTTGAGAATGCATATAACTTCTGTATTTACGTAAATATAAAAGTATCGAGAGATGGAGGCAAACGTGGAATTTTGTTTCTCTTGTAGTTTGTGAACGTGCATTTATAATAGATCACATATACAAAGTCCAAGAAGAAATAATGGAATTACCATTCATTTTTAAACTCATTTATAAGTCCTTTGCCTGGATTTAACGTAAGTCTCCGAGTCTCTCCCAAACAAACGAGGTACTGTATTCCAGTGCCCCATTCATTATCCTGCATTTCTTTCATGGAGGCAAGTTCTTGGGGGCAGACGTGCATTATTTTAAATTTACAAAGAATATTCCCCATACAATAGAGCAAATCGTCAAAGCATTTGAACGTCTTGCTATGCATATATTCGAAATACGGAATCAAGTAGGTCGACTTGGTACTTTTTATGCACTTTCTCACAAACTAGAGTATTACCAGAGACATGTCAAAAAGTTGGATACGTTGAGCTTGGTAGATTTCCTTCTACTGTTCTATGACATATTCTAACAATAATTAAAAAAATGAACCAGGCAATGAAAACGTGTGTCGTGCCTTTTAGAACTATTTTCCTCAGGAAAAAGTTGGTATTGAACCAGGTTGAATGCGTTAATTAATGATATGTAAATAATATGACAAAGCCTTTTTTTGTAAAACATGAAACTTCTGGTTGGATCTCCAAGATTTGGCCGCTCCAGGAAAATGTGCATCTCCCGCTCTTTGAAAAGTTTTGAGGGTTCACACATCCCACGATATCTTTTATCAAAGCTGCTTTTAGCTTTTCAAAGAATTTTGGAAGAACTGACACGCCTGGAAAAAATTCCTGCGTGCCCCCATGTTAGTTGGTAGAAGAGTTGTCAACTAATTGATGACACCAAGATCCTTGGCATATGTACCTGGCGCAACAAGTTTTAGATGTCTGAGGTTGAAGTTATACGAATGCGACAGGAGTGTTTGAGAAACGCTAATAAATATTGAAAATTATCAAGTTGTGTAGGTGGAAATCTCACGATCGTCACATACCAATGGTTTTCCCAGTCAATCTCATCTAATACGATGAAGATGACAGAAGACCCCTACAACTCTGGCTCATGCTCACCATAACCCTCTGCGCTATGTACAGGTAGCTATACCCACTTTGTTTGCTTTCCGTTCGTCTATCTCCAAGAATATATCTATTATCGCAATCATGAGTTGCTAACGAGCATCAAACAGACGGAAAGCAAACATGTCCACTTCAGCCAAATTATTAAGTGCCCTAAAATTTAGATAATATTAATGATATCTGCAATTTGAACAATGAGACATGTTTAGTTTCAACATTTTATAACACATCATCTCTATAAACTACGAAATGGAAAGGTCGGAAAAATGTGTATGGCGAAGTCTGGGCTAATTTTGAAGACCCTCAAGTAACATTTTTTTTGATACAGCAAAAATCATTAGGTGGGTAAGGAGATACACCCAATTTGAGTTACTTCATGAGTTATAGAAGTGTTAAGTATTGTTGGACAGGCTGATCGCCAAAAATTAAGGACCTGATTTGTCATTACATATCGATGCATTTTTGCCAAAGTAACGTAAGTGACATTTTTGGTGAAAATCATGTTTTTCCATTAACGTAAGGCTTTTATTGTTGAGAAGGTACTGCCAAGGTGTAGGAAGCCTAGATTTTACTTTAAACCTTTATTTTTAACTTTTTTTGAAAATGTATGTCCAGAATTTTTTAAATCATATCCGTAAAAGAAACGTAACTTCAACACTATTTCCATCATAGTAATGCAAGCTAAGGTTTTTTACCGCCATAATAACGTAAGTCCCTGTCGGTTTCTGCGACTTACGTCAGATTTTCGTAGTCAGTGTTTGGCTTACGACAGTGTTAGGTTCGTGCTAGCATCGACTAATTATTGATTTTAGGTAAGTAAACGACATTTTTTTATAGTTAGAATTCAAAAATATTACAATCTTAACTCATATTATGTAGGTACATACCTATAAAATTCCATTTCATATTTAATTTCGTTCATTTATTACAAGTGATTGTGTGATAACCTCAAGGTCTGTGAGAAATTTGCAGGAATGAATCGGTTGAAGTTAAAAAAACGTTTTTTTGTAGTTAGAATTTAAAAATATTAAAACCTTAACTAATATTATGTACCTACCTATAAAACTCCCATTTCATATTTAATTTCGTTTATTTATTAGAAGTTATTCTGTCATCGAACCTGTGAGAAATTTACAGGAATGAATCGGTTGAAGTTAGAGAAAGACTGTTGTATTTGTTTCTATTCTAATTTTTATAGAAGCTATGAAACATTGTAAACATAAATGCCCGGTTACTTTTAGATTATGTATATGGTCAGTTCAGGAACAAAAAGGATTTTGGCGGCTCTTAGCCAAAATGATGAATCGAATGTTTATTTTGAGGAAGAAATCGGGCCTATGCCGATATCCATTATTTCAAGTGACAATATTTTTGATCTAGATAATTCCGAAAATATTTTAAAAACTACTTTAGTAAATGAAGACGTAATCGAAATAGATCAATCAATTTTATTGTCTTCTAACAATTCGAGTCCTTATGAAAATGATGGTAACCATACTATGCAAGAAGAAATAAATGTACCAATAAGTACTGATAGCTCAAATGGGACAGTGGGTGTTCAATTTGAACAGGAATGCGATGTACAAGAATATTTTCTGCCGTTAGTTAATTACATGTCATACCTGCCAGGTTTCACGATGAATTCTTTAAATTAAAATGTAAGTCTTCTCTTCCAGATGAGTTAGCAGAAACTGATGCAATGAAGATGAAAGCTCCAAAACTTAAAAAAATATATATTTTTTACTAGTAAGACTTTCATATTTTCTTTTGTGTTTTTTTAATAATAAACGATAGTATTTAATTCTTTCCAAAATACTTTACAATTTGCCGCCAAACTGACGTATCTGTGTAATTACGTTACATTTTTGATCAAGACTTCGAGATTTCTGAACCCGTAAAGTAAGGTAAGTATCAATTAACCACTAAAACTATAAAAAAACTTCAAAAATCATTTTTCTTAATTAAATATAGAACTCAGAGAAACACCCTGGTAAATTTTGCACAATTTAAAAAAGTTTAACCAGGTTAAATTAAAAACACGTTCTTTCTCCGAAATCGTTTTTGGTGACTTACGTTACTTTGGCAAATACGTATCGATATGTACATGTCATGAACCTTCAAAAATGGCGCCAAGCAGATTGATTCTATACCTCCTACGACTTCGTTTGAGGTTAGTTAAATCGTTTCAAAATACGGAATCTAATCTTCGACCTCTACGTATTAAACTATATAAACATATTTCTGTTTGAATGGAAGTATCTAGGAAAAACATGTGTGACTTATTATGTCTAACATAAGCATAGTATTACCGGGATCAGCAGATTCTTAATAATAGAAGGTCTTTCACTGACGCCAAACATGCAACAATTTACAGCCATTCACCACATACAGCTTGCAACCTAGAATATTCAATCTCACCACACAATGTCTGAAAACTGAGCAGGAATCTGTGAAATGTTGTAATACTATGTTCCAACGATTTCTATTTTTTTGTCCGTAGCTCCGCCGCCACTGAATGAATTTTCAAAATTTACGACTACCTAAACCTAAACGATGTAAGTATTGAACTCGCGAACTTCAGTTCACACGTCTTCTGGTGCTTAAAGATATCTGCATCACACAAGTCAGTGTTTCTCATTTATGTCGGTTTGTGAGTCAGTGTCTGTTGCATATCAATGCGTAATTAGATCTGAGTCAATCTACTTGACGAAATATTCGGAGAACCGTCATAGACTGAGTGACACAAATTAAAGGTTAGGCGGGATGGGCGGGTACATTTAGAGATCATAAAACTCACAAAAAAAATCGTTTTTGGCTTTTTTCTCCGCCACCACTTATTGAAAACTACAAAGATTTTTCGTGGATTTTAGTGATTTGTTTGATAACACATGAAAAATCGGGTCGGTGGAAAATGGAGGAGGTTACAGAGTCCTCGAAATTTTATTCAAATACAGAATTAGAATATACGAAAATATAAAATGAACAGTTTGATCCATACCGACAGGTGTAGGTAAGTGCGTCAATGTATTCAACTCAAAAAGAAGGAAAATGAAATTGTCTTGCTTTTGCTGCAAGCTGACGACAATATATAGGGTTGTTCAATATTAAAATATTAATACATTTGCTGTATACTTTGTAAAGTATTACTGTTAAAATAGATAGGCCAACATTGTAATAGTGCATTGAAGATAACACACGGAGCTATGTATAGGTAGTTGTGCTTCCAATTTTCAGGGTCATGGTATGAGAATTATTGTTTTGTAAAAACTATATAATGTCGTAATATTTTTGAATAAAGCTAGCTATCTTTTTCAGCAGATTCCTGTTGAGTTTCAACAATTTGAGTCTTGAATTGAATATTGAATTTATCAGAATTTGCAAAATAGATTCTAAACAAACCACAAATCAAACATCAGAGGCAATCATTTTCTGTCAGCACAATCACCATATTTACATATGGTTGAAAACAATTTCCAAAAATTTCTTTTAGCCACTTTTACTGTAATTTTTTATTATTGACCTACCCGGTATTAGCTGCTATACGATATTCAGATAAATACTGTTATTTTTAAGAGACATAATTTTTCAAATTTTGATTTAACGGGAAGATCCATTTGCTTGGCCCAGTATATCTCGGAATCGTAAATATTTATACCTACTCATTTTGACGTTAGTTTTCTTTTTCCTTATCCCTAGGTATTACGTCAGATGCCCGCTATAAAGCTATAAGTATGATAAACATTTTCAGTGTAGGAGCCAACAGCTTCATTTCTAAACATAACATTACGAGGATGGAAAAGTATTAATCTAGTTGAACACATTATTTCTTATAAAGGCATGAAAGCCTTGGTGTGTAAAGTCTAAATTCAGCAATAATTTTGTAGTTACAATCAAAATACACAAACGATAATACAATAGACATCCAAACATTTTCAATTTTATTGGCTATTCACAACGAGCATTACTCTATCACACAGCCGGAGAATTACTAGAACTGCAAGTGACAACATTGACTTGATGCTATCGCTCCAAACGGTATATGATTTATTATAAAGCAGGTGAAAGGAGGCCAAATTACACGTGGGACATTGCAGCACCTTGCAATACCCTTGATAACATACAATATATACTAAGTGACATATAAATCCGAACACCCAGTTTAAATGGTTTTATTTTAATAAAATTTTGTATAAGTACTTAATGAAGCATAATAAGTAAATGATAAAAATTTCAAAATGATTGCACTGCTTTAACCCTGCTGTCCTGTTCGGGTCTATTTGACCCAAAGAAGAAACTTATTTCATTTTTCAAAATGTCCATTCTTCACAATCATAATGGCGTTTGGTGACTTTGTTACTAACTGTGAGTTATTTATTTGGCCAAAGAATAAAAACAATCACTCTTTGTTCAAAAAGGAAAAATTAAATTGTTACGTTTGTACTGCTTGGGTCAATATGACCCGCTTGATCTGCAAGCCAAATTACGCGCTGCGGTAGTGTGAACGAAGCCTAACATTTATAACGGGCGTCACCGAGTTTACACGAAAATAAACGAATAGTGTGGACACTGTCGGCCTGTGTAGTTTTGCGTTTATTTGATCAGTAGATAAATAGTTTGATATCGAGAATGGCGCGCCCATTGACTGATAGTGAATTGCTTGCGCTGGTGGAAGTTTCCGAGAGTGATGGGAGTGTATCAGAATTAGAAGACCGTACAAGCAACGAGAGTGAAGAAGAAAGTTCTGAAGATGATTTGGTTCCAGTGCTCGCGAATAATCCTACAACATCTAATGCAACAGTGGGCTCAAAAGATGGTAAGATACAATGGTCGATGGATTCTCCGTCACAATCCGGTCGTTTTTCATCTGCAAATGTAATAAAAAGTTCTCCAGGAGTTACAAGATACGCATGTGCACGAATTTTCGACGTAAAAAGCTCATTTGACATAGTGTTTTCTGACGTTGTTGAAACACAAATTATAAATATGACTAACATAGAAGGATTTCGGGTTTTTGGTTCATGTTGGAAAGATCTAGACAAAATGACTTTTCAAGCTTATATTGGTCTTCTGATATCAGCCGGTGTATATAAATCTTACGGAGAAGCAACTAAAAGTCTTTGGAATGAAGAAACTGGTCGCAGTATATTTCGGGCAACAATGTCTCTTGAGTTATTCACAAAAATAGTAATCCGCTTTGACAATAAGACCACCCGACCGGAAAGAAGACGTTCTGACAAACTTGCCGCCATTCGAGATGTCTGGGAAAAGTGGGTTGAAAACATACCGAAATTATTCAATCTCCATGAAAATGTTACTGTTGATGAACAACTTGTTTCGTTTAGAGGACGATGTCCTTTCAAACAGTACATTCCTAGCAAACCAGCAAAGTATGGCGTGAAAATATGGACCTTATGTGATAGCAAAACCTCATATGCATACAAACTGCAAATATATACAGGGAAAGAAGCGGGCTCTGCTTCCGAAAAAAATCAAGGAATGAGGGTAGTATGTGATCTTACCTCTGATTTGAGAGGCCATAATGTTACTTGTGATAACTTTTTTACGTCATACAACTTAGGACAATTTCTTCTAAAGCGAAAAATTACCATGATTGGTACTATACGGAGGAACAAACCAGAACTTCCACAACTAACAAATAAAGAAGTTCACAGTTCCACTTTTTACTTCACGCAAGATACTACAATTGTCAATTACATTCCAAAAAAGAATAAAAATGTTGTTCTTATGAGCACGTTACACCATGATAAAGCTATTAGTGACAGAGCTGATAAAAAGCCTCAAGTGATTTTGGATTATAATGCAACGAAGGGAGCAGTTGATACTCTCGATCAACTTATTGGAACATATACATGCAAAAGAAAAACTAATCGCTGGCCAATGGTAATTTTTTATATGATAGATACTTCCGCATATAACGCATTCATTTTATAGACGTCAATAAATCCGAACTGGAATGAAAATAAGCTCACCAAAAGGAGACTATACTTGGAAGAACTAGGAAAAGCATTAGTAACACCGCTTATTACTTCCCGAAAATTTTTGCCAAGACGTGAAGAGTCACGTCGTCTGGTAAGAAAATCACAAGCTAGTGGATCAGGATCAGAAGCACAGTCTGATATACCATGTACAAGTGTCACGGGTACGGCTACTAAAAGGGCACGCTGTAAATTTTGCCCATCAAGAAATGACAATAAAACTAATATTTTATGTTGTATTTGCCGTAAACATATTTGTAAAATGCATAGCAGTTGTTATTGTCCTAATTGTAAACAAAACTAAAATAACATTTTTGTATTCATTTGCATTTTTTTATGAGATTTTTTTTTCTTACTGGTTTAAATACAATGTTATTTTGTAAAACATGCATTTATTAATAAATACATTTTGATTTAAACAATATTATTTTACTTGAAATGTATGATTCACACTCGGGTCATATTGACCCGAACACTACATTAGGTTGTAAGATTCGAACAGGACAGCAGGGTTAAAGCCCTTTGACCTTTAATAATGTGTGGATGCATCCTGATGTGCTACGCATTCTCCAACGCGCCTAGGCATGCTTCTGATCAGGTGGTCAATGTCCTCCTGTGGTATCTCATTCCAGGCAACCACCAACTCCTCTCGAAGTGCTTCTAGAGTCTGAGGAGGACGTTGCAAATTGAGCAATCTCCTACCCATCATATCCCACACGTGCTCAATTGGGGATAAGTCGGGAGATCTTGGTGGCCATGGTAACAATGAGACATCATTATGTTGAAAGAAGTCTATCGTGATTCTTGCAACATGTGGTCGGGCATTATCTTGTTGGAAAGTTGGATCTGCCAGGGTGTCAAGATAGGGTAAAAGATGGCGTTCTAGAACTTCGTGGATATAACTCTGCGCGTTCATGTTCACTCTGGTGAAGATTAAAGGTGACCTGGAACCATAATCTATAGCACCCCAAACCATAACTCCAACAGTGTGATGAACATGTCTTTCAGCAAAAAACTGTGGATTCCTCCTTTCACCACGTCGCCTTCTAACCGTGGCACGACCATCGTGCATGCCTAAACAAAATCGAGACTCGTCACTAAAGACAATACTGTTCCATTCCTGATCCCAGAGTGACCGTTGTCTGCACCACTCAAGGCGACTACGTCGGTGTTCTCGAGTTAAAGGGAGGACCCAGTGTGGCCGGTATGAAAACAAGCCAAAACTTCTCATTCGTCGGTAAACACTTCGCATGCCAATAGGTCTTCCGTGTTCTGCAAACCATTCATTTGCAATGGACCTGGTAGTGGAGAAACGGTCCCTTAAGGCCAATAATCTTAGGCGGCGATCTTCACGGTCTGTTGTTCTACGGCGGCGTCCAGCGCCCCTTGCTCTTTGCGTACGGCCTTCTCGAAGCCATGCCTGACAACACCTAACCACAGTGTCTACACTTCTTTGCACTCTAACTGCAATTGCCCGAAAAGAAAGTCCAGCTTCCCGAAGTCACACTATACGGCCCCTATCAAACTCACTAAGTTGACGAAATCGTACAGGTCTCCGTACTCTAGGCATCGTAACCGATCCTAAAGGATGTCAAGAACCAAAATCCGCCAACGTTGATTCTTTACTGCGGTTGAAATATTCATTTTTAGAGCGTTAGTGAGTATAAAAACCGGAATGTCCAATTGATAAGGCTGAACATTTTTTCACTTGTTATTTACAGTAAGATAAATACATTCACCAACTTTTATTAAAATGAAACCATTTAAACTGGGTGTTCGGATTTATATGTCACTTAGTATATATCATTTGTTATCCTATTCTGAGTTTTGTTTAAAGCTTCAAGTTTATGTATGTCAAGATTTACGAAAAAAATCGATAATTATTTTTTATAGCCAATTGTCTTGTTCCACGCGATCTCAGCTTGACCAGAATATATGGAGATTTGACAAAGATGTTAGTATAAGTGTAGGACTATTTTTTTAATAATAAAGCAGCCGCACTGGCAGAAGCATAAAGAAACTTGATAAACTCATTCCACTTATCACAGCTCCCAGTTACACGATTATGAGTTGACTTGTTAGTTTCTATTACTGTATTACTTTTACAGTTGCTAGTTTTCAAGTCATAATAGCCATTTTCCCAAGTGTTCACGATTCGTATTTTTCCACTTTTGTGTAATAAAGTTAACTTAATATCAATGTTTGTAACTAGCTAAGTTTCATTATTTTCAGGTGGAACTTTATAGTATACTTTTTCATGAAATTGTCTCGAACAAACTTTTCCCATTTATACTTTCTATTAAAACGTGGCACATGAATTTGACCTTTTAAAGACACATCGAATCGTTAGCAGTCCTCATTTGTTTTAAAGTAGGCGTATATGTAGCATTTAAGGCATTCAATGAAGCCCTTGATAGATTAAGGCACGACCTACGCAGTCAGTAGCAACCAATACATCCCTCCGTCGTAACTCACAAGGGACTAGATTCTAATTGTAGTGATAGGCTGCAACCTCTAATATACTACTAAAATGTTCGTGGACTCCGAACGAAAGCTGCTGTTTTTTATAATGCTATTTGTAGGTATGAATATCCTATCATTGCAATAACTGAAACCTGGTTAGATTTCTCATGTATGAGTAGTGAATTTTTTCCAACTACATAATGTGTTTCGGACAGATCGTGATTATGTAACCACTGGTTGCTCAAGAGGTGGTGGTGTGTTGATTGCGATTGATGAGCGTTTTACAGCATCTTTGATAGAGATACCTGAGTTGGCAGTACTTTCTGCCCTAAAGATTGATGTTGTAGCAGTCAAGGTTTGTACCAACTCTTTTTCAGTGTACATTTGCAATGTCTACATACCACCTGATAAGCCCAATGCTGAATAAGAGCAATTTTATGATGCTATCTTGTCATCGCACGTCCTATTTGATAAGAATTTAGTTATAACAGGGGATTTCAACATAGCTAACTACACTTCTTATGCTAATAGTCATGGACGCAACGCAAAATTGGTATCGTTGAACAACTTTGCTGAAGGTCTTGCTATTAATCAGTTTAACAACATTTCAAATTCTATGGACAATACCCTTGATTTAGTCTTCTGTAGTGGACTGTGTGAGGTTGAACATTCGTGGGATCCGCTGCTAGATGAAGACCCATATCACCCTGCCCTGAATATTTGTTGTAATGTCAACAGCAGTCTCAATACTAAGCATAATTTTCCTGTTTAATTTATAAATTCTTATAATTTCCGCAAAGCCAACTTCCTCCAATTATATAATTTAATTTCAGACATGGATTGGGCTGCTTTAGATGGATTTCATGACGCGAATGAAGCGTGTGAGTTCTTTTATAATAACTGTACAATGCTTTTGATACCTGTGTTGTCCGAGCAACGAAACGTAAATACCCACCCTGGTTCAATTCAGCAATAATTAAGCTTATCAAACGCAAGGAGAAGATTCACCGATCTTACAGACGCAACAATGATCCTAAAACGTATCAGACATTCAGGGAACTTAGATCAAAAATTAAGATAGATTCAGATGAAGCATTCAAAATATATGTCAGACAAGCTGAGAACGAAATACAAAGAGATTCGAATAAATTTTGGGGCTTCTTAAATTCTAAGCGAAAATCAACAAACTTATCAAGTAGGATGATTTACAATGGTAATGAACTTTTGGAACCGAACGACATATTAAATGCTTTTGCGGATAACTTCTCCAAATACTACTCGTCTTCGTCAGCCACCGAAGAAACTGATGACTTTTTAATGAGCAATGAACAACCACTCAATATTACTAGATTTGAGGAGGATGAAGTTGTCTTAGCCTTGAAGCAAATAAAACCTAAGATGACTACCGGACCGGATAATGTACCAGCTTTCATTTTGCGTGACTGTGCCTCTGTGTTGGCGTGTCCTTTGACCATTTTATTCAACTTGTGTCTTACCACCTGCACAATTCCAGAATTATGGAAGTTGTCTAAAGTATGTCCAATTCACAAAAACGGCAGTAGGAATGATGTATCAAATTTTAGACCTATATCAATATTGTGCAATTTTTCAAAAGCTCTAGAGATATTAATATATAACAGACTATCTCATCATGTCAGCAGAAAAATATGTGTTCAACAACATGGTTTCATGAAAGGGCGCTCAACAGTATCAAATCTGATGAACTTCACACAGACCGTGGCAGAAAACATTGACAGAGGATTACAAACAGATGTGGTCTACACAGACTTCTCCAAGGCTTTCGACAGAGTTGATCACAGGGTGCTATTCCATAAGCTGAAATCTCATGGATTGTCCGATCCTTTAATACAACTATTTAAGTCCTACCTCACTGGCAGAAATCAATTTGTGATGTTTAATGGCATCAGATCGTCGAAGTATGTAGCCAATTCCGGAGTGCCACAAGGCAGTAACCTAGGGCCTTTATTGTTCGTCATATTTGTGAATGACATAGTTAATGCTGTTGGCGAGAATTGTTTACTTTACGCTGATGATCTGAAGATGTTTTGTCATGTAGTTGATGAGTCAGACTGGGATCAACTTTTAGAAAATCTGGTCGGGTTGGATGCTTGGTGCTCACAAAACAATCTGTCATTAAACATCAATAAATGTTACGTAATGTCTTACACTTTGAAGAAAAATCCTCTGTTATTTGACTATACCCTGTCAGGTAGCTCTATTCAGAGGACTTCAACTTTATGTGACTTAGGCGTGACATTTGACTCCCAACTAACATTCGTCAAACACATTGACAGCAACATTTCCGAGGCAAACCGCATGTACGGCTTTATTGTAAGAAACTGCCGTGACTTCACTCAGAGTACCACCTTGAAGTTGCTGTATTATGCATATGTTAGGTCGAAGCTTGAGAATGCATTGCTAATTTGGAATCCGCATCATATTATTCATATAAGTAGGCTTGAATGTTTACAAAGACGTTTCTTAAAATATTTGTCACTGAAAGTGGATGGAGTTTACCCGCCCATAGGTATACCTCAAAAAAAAATTCCTTTCTTGAAAAACATTTAATCAGCAGTCTTGAAGCAAGGCACACTTGCCAGACAGTGATTTTTCTGTTTAAATGGATCAATAATGCTAGTGATGATTTAGCTTTCTTGGGTCAGTTATCATTTAACGTACCTAGGCTGACATCCCGACAAAACGTTACGTTTTATTTACCTGCGGCACGGACAAATTATTTACACTATTCGCCTTTACATGTGATGTGTAGGAATTACAATTCTGCAAGTAACATGATTGATATATTTAACTGCAGAATTGCAGACATAAAAAATACCATTAAGTAACAAGCATGTATCTTTTACACTTTGTAGTCTATTACTTATTATTGTCTTTTATATCTGTGTTATGTTCCGTGTTTCCTCACCCTGTAATTGGTATTTACTGTAGGGTGTTGTAATGAATAAAATAAAATAAAAATAAAATAAAATTTCTTTCTTATTATATATCAGATTTTTATTCGTATTTTAAGCTTCTTTAAGCACAGTGAGATGAATTCATATTCATAGTATTTGCCGCTGGCATGTACTAGTGCATTTCAAGTCCGATATGAGTGTAGGGCGATACCAGTTGTTTGTCACAGCAATCCCTACCTTTGCTCTTAGCTGAAAGTCTTGTCAGTCTGTAAGCTCGTCAGGTCCGATTACCCAGACACCAGACAAGTTCAATGGGGAAAGAGAAAAAAAGAAGGAAGGAAGGAGGCAAAGTAAAACAAGTAAATCGGTTAAATTGGTAAAAATCTCAAGCATTCGGCAAGTGCCTTCCTCGACATTACTGATAACATCGTCAGTGCCTGGGATCACCATTTAGTTACACCATTTCACTTAGACTTGACCAAGGTATTTGATACAATAAATCACTGTATTTTGATTTCTAAATGCAAACATTATGGTTTCGATTATTCCTCACTGAATTTAATGCGCAGCTTTCCGATAAATAGATCCCAAAAGGTCGTCGTTGATTCAAAAGTTTCTAAAGAACGCCTGCTTTCCTCAGGAGTGCCTCAAGGCACATTTTGTATATAGCAAATATAAAGATTGTTGTCAGATTTTGTAGTATTCAGTTTTTTGCTGACGACTCACAATTATATCATAGTTTCAATTATGAAAATTTAGAAATTTCGGAAGCACAAATGATAGAGGTTGAATTCCTCTAAATCCAAAGTTATTATTTTTTCTCCTAAAAATCTGAGGTCTCTTATTAAAAACAGTTTGAGCATAACTTTAACCGCGAATAGCTGGAATGCTATTCAGATAGAAGAATCAGTTAAAAACCTGAAAATCTCAAATTTATTTCTCACATAAACAATGTAACTAAACATTGTTTTTCCATTTTACGGCGTCTGTACGTCTGTACCTGAATAAAGAAATACTTCATTTCAAAGCTAAAAAAATTGTATGTGGATCTTTAATATATCATAAATCACATATTGTGATACATTCAAAGTAAGGCTACCAGTAGCCCTTTATGATAACGTTTGTTCGCTAAGCTCAAACATATACGTTTTTTAGTTGTGTGTCTCCGTCTCGAAAACTTTGTCGTTACGTATGACTGCCCTGCAATCATATTTGTCAGAGTGCCAACTTACTTGACATCGGCGTGCAATTCGAGTTGTCCTCTAATCAATCTTCAATATAAAATTGTACAATGCCCGGAAATACGATCAATGGAGAAGGCCGACAGCTCGTGTCAAATGAGAGAATGAAAACGGCGGTCCCCTGTTACCCACTTCATGCGTACTGGAGAGAGTAGCAGATGCGCCGAAGATTAGTCTGCGCAGTCTGCCCATGGTACGGAAACTCGATCTGTTTACCGCCAAGAACAGTGACTACAAGTTAGTATAAACGCCTACAAGAAATTCAAAATTCATGTTGTAGATTCATTTTCAATTTAAGGGAATATGACGATATCAGTTCATGTTTCGAACAGCTGAACTGATTGAATGTTTAAAAGTTGTTATTATGCTATGCTAACAAACTCCTACATAGTTCAAGGGTGGATTCAGGATTTCGTCTAGGGTCGCAAACGATATTTGGGGCTGGTAATTTTTCTACCTCAGTGGAACTTCTAGAATTTATCCTATTATTGCTCCTTAAATCCATTGTGTTCTAACTGTTCAGTACCAAAATGAAAAAAAAAATGGAAAGTGCGCAGAAATCCTCAGAAAAGCAATATTTTATTATACGAGAACAAAATAATTTTATATTTTATAATCAACTAGTGTAATAATATACTAAGTGACATATAAATCCGAACACCCAGTTTAAATGGTTTTATTTTAATAAAAGTTGGTGACTGTATTTATCTTACTGTAAATAACAAATGAAAAAATTTTCAGCCTTATCAGTTGGACATTCCATTTATACTGTTTTTTTTTAATTCACTAACGCTCTAAAAATGAATATTTCAGCCTCAGTAAAGAATCAACGTTGGCGGATTTTGGTTCTTGACATCCTTTACGATCGGTTGCGATGCCTAGAGTACGGAGACCTGTACGATTTCGTCAACTTAGTGAGTCTGATAGGGGCCGTATAGTGGGACTTCAGGAAGCTGGACTTTCTTTTCGGGCAATTGCAGTTAGAGTGCAAAGAAGTGTAGACACTGTGGTTAGGTGTTGTCAGGCATGGCTTCGAGAAGGCCGTACGCAAAGAGCAAGGGGCACTGGACGCCGCCGTAGAACAACAGACCGTAAAGATCGCCGCCTAAGATTATTGGCCTTAAGGGACCGTTTCTCCACTACCAGGTCCATTGCAAATGAATGGTTTGCAGAACACGGAAGACCTATTGGCATGCGAAGTGTTTACCGACGAATGAGAAGTTTTGGCTTGTTTTCATACCAGCCACACTGGGTCCTCCCTTTAACTCGAGAACACCGACGTAATGGCCTTGAGTGGTGCAGACAACGGTCGCTCTGGGATCAGGAATGGAACAGTGTTGTATTTAGTGACGAGTCTCGATTTTGTTTAGGCATGCACGATGGTCGTGCCAGGGTTAGAAGGCGACGTGGTGAAAGGAGGAATCCACAGTTTTTTGTTGAAAGACATGTTCATCACACTGTTGGAGTTATGGTTTGGGGTGCTATAGCTTATGGTTCCAGGTCACTTTTAATCTTCATCAGAGGTAACATGAACGCGCAGCGTTATATCCACGAAGTTCTAGTACCCCATCTTTTACCCTATCTTGACACCCTGGCAGATCCAACTTTCCAACAAGATAATGCCCGACCACATGTTGCAAGAATCACGATAGACTTCTTTCAACATAATGATGTCTCATTGTTACCATGGCCACCAAGATCTCCCGACTTATCCCCAATTGAGCACGTGTGGGATATGATGGGTAGGAGATTGCTCAATTTGCAAC